AGTCTACAAAAGACTATTAAGCTGCAGAAGTCGAATATTACTTTAAAACTTCAAATCTTTTTTAAAATTTTTCTCTTTGGTAAATTTTAAATGCTAATATTAAACTCTTAACACTAAAGAGTGAAAATGTAATTTATTTTGAAGTTCTGTAAGCGTAAATTTTCTTCATTTGTCTACTTGTTAGAATTCAGTTGTTTAAAGTACGAAATAGTTTTGCGTAGTCAAAGTAATTATCGTTTTCATGAACAGAGAAATGGTTTTCTTCTCTTCATATATTACTTCTAGTTTTTACTGAAAACTACGAACAAAGCAAATAAAATGCTGATGTGGAAAATTTAATACACTCGTGTTAATTAATGGAAGAAAAATACATATGTTATGAAAAGATATATGTATCTCAATAATATAGCTCTAGGCTGCTGAATTTAATTTTGCAATATAATTATTTAAAAGTAACAAATATAAAAAATCATACCGACTTGAAACAGTTTTTTTTAGCTATCATTTTAACGAAACAGTCATGCAACAGGGATAGTTTGAAATTAAAATTTATCTAATATGTTACATTAAAAAATATTTTTTTGAAGAATGGTAAATATACTTCACCAGATGAAGTTACCGTTCATTTTGCGGGTCGTACATGCTTTTCATATTATTACGCTGAAACTGATCTTGTATCATTAAGGCCGTTGCCAAAGGTTACGTGAGTAAAACATATTTATGTGGAAGAAATTCTCGGAAATACGTTCTAGCATTTCCTTTTGTTCGATTAAATAACATTACTAAATAATTGTTATATCTGCGCTGCGGAAATAAATGCACACGCGTTTAAAGCTAATATACGAACAAGTTTCCCTAAGAAAATCCTCCACGAAGGTGTTTTCTTTTTTTATCGAGGACATCGAGCGGTAAAGTCACTGAACACTAGTACTACGACTCGGTCCCGATCCCGACGAACGATCTTAGTTGCATAGGAGTTTTCGTGTTGCTGGCTTAGCCCTTCAGCGGTTGCAAGATTAAGCAAGTCTTTCTTCTCAAATACTCGTTATATTTGTCAATCATAAATCTGTAATGCGAGCTTGTTCGTTTGCGCCCACTGCGGTGCATAAGTTGATTGCAAGCTGAGCTCGTTCTAGACAATCAGAGTTAATCAATTAACCAAACTTTCTTAGCGGAATAACCCTCGAATTCTTTATCATAACTTAACTCTTGGGTATCGAACTTATGAGCCGCTTAGACAAACAGAGTAGGGCCAGAGGTGGGCTTAGGGTTGCAACAGCATTTAATATTTATGAATGACCATAATATAAAATATAGGTCTGTTACTTTGATAATATTTATTTCTATAACCTAATCCACCACATTTTATAGAGAGTCTGTTAAAGTTCCCGGAAATAGACTTTTATGTGCAGGTTAAATCTGTGCACTTTTTGCCTCTAAATGTATTTCCATGGAAAAGAAAATTGATTTCGGGCGAGTCTTTCTGGTTATTTGTGCTGTTCATGAGACAGTTGGCTGAAATGATCCGGTTGAAAACCTTCCATTCGAACGTTTCCGATCCGGTCTTTGCCGAGGTCGCCGAGTCGTAGACAAATCGTTGTTCGTGATATTAAAAGAAAAATACGCAGTTTTGCTGATACACAATCGCTTGACCTAATTCCATTCTCGACGTGAAAGAAATGAATTACAATTGGGAGACATACATCTTAGATACATACAGTGAAACAAAACGTTTTTCTTGTAGGTAACAGGAAGCAATTTAAAGCCGTATTTTTAAGCATTTGTGTACGGCAATTGGATTTTATTGCTTTCTGCTTCTGAGAAATAAAAAATAAAGGGTAATTGGAAATGCAACCCAAAATGTGAAATTATTACAATTATATAATTTTCAGTTAACCAGATTGTATTTGTGAGATGCCAGTATGACATTCCCGATGTAACCAAAAATACTCGGATGCTAAATTAAAATATCCTGCTACTCCAAATGTAATAGTTTTCCTTTTTAAATTGCTGTTCTAAAAATCTCATTCGTACTACATGAACTGTAGGCTCTTTTAGAAAGAAGTATATATTAAAATAACTTATCATATATCTTTTAAATATTATGTTAACAGAAAATATATTAACTTGATTTTACATAAAGGTATGACATCTAACATTTTTAATTACTAATTATGCAATGTTTACGACACATCAAGATTAAGGTTCCGGATACTTTTTACATGAAGTTTTCTTCCCTCTGATTGATAACGCACCTTCAAAAATTCATAATTATGTGATTAATTATTTGTAATTATTTAGAAATATATTAAATAATTCATTATCTTAAATGTGAAGGAATTTTATATTCAAACCAATGATGGTGTATTGGAAATCCGTATGACATAATACGTAAATAGACAATAAAGACAATAAAGTTAATGAGGTGTTAAAATGTGAAAGTCTTTGATTTAAAACTTAAGACCAAATAACCCGCAACAGTGACTGTAACTTTTAAATGTATTATGTATCTCATTCCAAAATATTTTAGGATTAACATAATAAATTTGTTTAAAAGGCTTTCGTACATTACTTTTTGCAAAACACACTACTTAATCAAAATATCTTTCAAAAGATCTTAACAAATATTACAAAAGTGCTAAAATCTTACAAAAGATCAACATATGATTAATTATAATACGGCAGGATTTCATTAAAGCATATTTTAAATGCATGGAATTATTTTTATTAAAAAAATTATGAGAAGCCATTTCTGTTTCTACGGAAATGAGTTAACTGCCAAAAATACGTTGGCACTACGCAAGAGGTTTTGATTATCATCCCAATAAAGAATTATTTTATGAATCAGAGCTCCCAGAAAAATAAAATAATGGCTTAATTATAATTTAGATTGTAATTTTATTTTTAAAATGATTTATGTTACATTTATCGCTTCGTTTAACGGCTTAGAACATCTAAAGTTTTTGTCTGTCTGGAAGTAATAAAATATAATTATTTTCCATAGAATATTCTATTGAAACAAACAAATTAACATTAATTATCCAATGTATGAGTGTTTTCGTATATATCCCCGTGAGTAACTCAAATTTTATCTTTAAAAAGAACTTCATGAAGGCGGCTCTTTTCCTAGACAAGATGAAGCAAGGCCGACGTCGAGCATTCCCGCAGGTATATTCTACGTATCGAAGGCCTTGCTAACTGTTTAAGCTTCCGCCATAATTTTGATTGATAACACCCCAGTGGAGTTCCTTCCTCTTCTTCTACCACCAACCTCTCGAGAGGACTTTCGGCTCGCTGTGCATTTTGAGTGCCTCCTTGCTGCATAGGCACTATATACTTACAGACATTTCCGAGATGTGAAGGTCCTCCACGAAGGCATCCCTTCCCATTAGCGCCAAAGCAGCCTGAAGAAAGATAACCTTCGAGTTGTTTTGCCTTAATCAATTAATCTAATCTGATGCTTAGTGAAACCTTATGAGCTAGGAAATATTTATGATTACGCTTAAAGATTACGAACCATTACGCTTAGCCAACAAGGATTACTTTGGAAAATTTGGAAATAATTTTACTTTCGAAAAATATAGTAGGGCTGTGCATCTGTCTCTGGAAATGCATGGCTTCGTGGAAACTTTCTATGGGAAACTGCCCCATATTTATTTTGCACGCGGAGAAAATTCTAGGCACACAGCACATGCAGTTGCTGGGAAGAAATCCTGTGGTTGCACCGCGAAAGTTCCAAGGCCTTTAACCATTTGATTTTTGATGCATCTATGCCAACAAGGAATAAAATAATTGTTCTGAAATTAGGGCGTATATTTTTTGGTTCACAAATGTGTTGTATATTTTGCCTCTTAAGAATGTAATATATTCAAAGGCATAGTCTGCCTGCGATTGTACCTTAAAATATTTGGGCATTTTAAAAATAATAACTTCTACCAGGATATTTCTAATATTTAAATTCTCTAAATTAGTGATCGATGAGTGCATATAAATAGGTGGTTGGTTGATATAATTTTAAAGAAAGTACACAAGGTTTTTCTACTAAATGAAAGATGTCTTCGTGGAGGTCTTTCTATCGGTCAATAGAATCGGAGACAAATTATCAGCATTCAACGTCTTCAGTTACTTCGCCATTTATGAAGGTGAATAGCTGATATCATAGTTGCAAGAAATATACCCCGAGTTAAATTATTTGTCAAATGCAATTCTTTAAAACTAACTTTGGACTTCACCAATTGCCGAGTTGTCAAGGCTGCTGAGTACTGATAATTCGACCGGGTTTCAGTCCGAGGCGAAAGGATTGGCTGCATGATTTGTTTCTGTGGTTTTCCTCATGTATAACGTAAATAAGAGCCACTTTTCCTTAGGAAATTCACGATGAAAACATCTTTTCCTTTAGGCAAAGGGCCCTTTGTCGTATCCAATTAACCTAACCTTAAAATGTTCCGTAAAAGCGACTCAACGCATTTTGAGAGATAACAGCATAATTTTCTGTCATAAATCCTGTTCAGTTCACTTTATAATGTTGAAAGCTTAATGGAAAAAGAATGGTGTGGTGTATTTAATTTGGCAAAGCACACTAAGGCTATCTGCCTAAGGGAAGGGAGGCCTTTTCCAGTTAAACTGATAGTAATTTTTTTTTTCCCTTATTTTGCTTCACTTGAATCTCCTGTTTATTGCTTAGTTATTACTTTAACAGATTATATTGATAGTTTTCTTTTATAGCTTACAGTCTTAGATTTTTAAAACTTATTTTTTTTTTCGCAAGTGTTTTAAGTTTTATGAAATGTTTCTCAATCCTTGTTGTTCTTGAGTATTTTGCATTTACTTGTTTTTCTTAAATTATATATTTTGAAATTTCTTAAATTTAATTCGTAAATCCTTCACATTACAAATGATGGAGACATTAACATTATTTCTGATGTTAACAGCTTTTTGCGTTAGGTACATCCATATAAGTAATTTCAGTATATTAATGCTTCTTTTATTCTGAATTCTAGGATGTGGTATAACGTCGGCAGACGAAGCTTATATAGGTCTTCCTTTGGGAAAGCTAAACACATATGCCCATCAAGTAACTGGTCATGTATATGCAGTAGATGAGCACACATTATTGATCAAGAACTTTTTCTATGATGGCCTTGGACAAGGTACGTAAATATTTTTATGCAAACATCTAGAATTCATGAATCATATTTATATTACATTTGTCTGTTATTCAGTGGCCTGAATTTCGGACTTCAGTAAATCATTTATATTTCATAAAAACAACAGCATAAAATATTTATAATTTTCTGAAATGCATAGTCATTCGAAGTCAAGTTAATCTTAGAACTTGTTGGTATATTTTAATCAATTTCAAGGGGAAAAGTTTGAAATACCTAACAAGTTATTCACATTTTGAGCTTTCAACCTGTGGTAAAAGTCAAGATTTGTCTGACAGTTAAATAATCTGTTACTTTAAAAGAACTTCATTTCCATCGCTCGATTTCACTTAACTATCTAACAACAACACTGCGGAAAAAAAACTTGTAGTTATTTGTTTCGTCAGTTTATTTCCGTTTAGCGTGCTTCCTAAATGTACGCTAATGCAATTTCTAATGAAGGATTAGTTGAACGGCAGTCTCAAAGAAGGTGGCGAAAATAAGAGCTGTGATTGCATATGATTTATGGGGGGGGGAAGCTAGCAACGCCTTTTTGAAGTGTCTGTTTTAAAGTAATATACTAAAAGTGATCATACTTGTTTAATGAAATTTACCAATACACATTTGGAGGAAACAAAATATAATTCAGTAATGCTTGAAGAAATTCTAACACTGGAAATAAATTGAACTTACTTAAAATTTCTAGTATTGCAGGTCTTGTATAAGAAATTTTTTAAAATACAACTATCCCTCGCTTTCTGCCATTATCGTTTTTAAGGACATAGTTTAGTTTTTAGTTAACTATGTAAATCAGAAAATGGTTTACTCTTTTACGAAAAATGGTTAAAGATACCATTTGTTCTGTGCTTTGAGTTTTGAAAAGTATAACTTTAGTTCTGAAAGATTGTAGAATTTTAGGACAGTTTTGCAATATCTTCCAACTGATTAAAAAAGCACTTGTATAGTACGGAAATATTTCGATCTAAGAAGGGAAGCATACTGTCTTATTCGAAGCATTTCACATCAGCCAGAATACACAACAGATCTTCCCTCATAATGTTAGAGTGGCAAGGCATAAAAATTATACACACAAGAGAACCTAATGTCACAAAAGTTAATATACCAATACAGAAAATCTGTTACATCGTAGATTCTGTTATCGGTAATAGCCGAGTTTAATGAACCTCTAACAACTCTGTTTAATTCATCGCTACGGTCGTCACCTTTTAGTCTTACAGCGTGTTTGCCATATTTTTAGTTTTGAAAACTGGAGCTACGCTGAATAGTACGTTACTTATAAAAATCTTTTCCTGTTATCATTAAGCGGCTTTCATATTATAAATTCATTTTGTTGTGTGGGATGGACTTCAGTACCACACCCTTTTAAATCTTTTTAGTTTATTTTGACACACTTTACGCAGGCTCATGTATGTAATAATCGATTTAACTGTCAATTAGTATATATAATTTAGTTTCTCAATCAACCTGTTCTTCCTTTATGATCAATAGTGGTGAGAGATTTGTTAACCATGTTAACACGTGGATTAACTGGTCTATTTTGAAGAAATCTTTCATGAAAACCATGTTTTATTCAGTTTATTTATAAATTTAGAGAACTATTGATCTCATCTCTACCTGGAAATAATATATCGAAAACCGTAAAGTACCGAAACAAAATAAATTTCATTACTCAAACAGCCTCTGACGTAGAGAAAAAAAAAAATGACCAACAAGCAAAACCAACAACAAACAAATGACCAAAATGACTTGTGTCAAAAGGGACGACATCAACAAACACAATGCTTTTGTCCAGCATGTGAAGAGAAGCTTCATTGTGAACAGAACAATATTTAAAAGCACATAATTAAAATTTGCTCTTATTTATCCCAAACGGGCATTAGACCCATAGGGTTATTAGTCTTAAAACGGCATTTTGCGTTATTTCACTTTCTGCCTTAATTCATTTTTCAATTGTTGCCACAAAATATTATCATCGTGTAGTATATTAAAAAAATCTGATGTGTACACCACATGACTTCCTTGTACGGAAAATTAAATTATACGCATTTTTCTTGCATTTTATTTAAACTTATTGAATTAAACCTACTTCGCCGACAGCGCATAAACCACAATAGAATAAATGCATTCTTTAAAATTGACTTTGTTTACCATAGCGACAATCTGGCGCTAGGTTTACTTAACAGTATTATATTTCATTCATATTATAACTCAGAATGCACAAAATTTATATCATTTAAAGAATTATCTAATCGTTGCCACATGTTCTATTCAAATACTATAATAAAGCTAGAACTATGCATAAAAGAAATTAAGCAAACAAAACAAAACAGAAACAGTTTTTCACAGACGATTGAGTATTTCTCATTTAATTAATTCAGTTCTCACTTCGCGAGAAGGCAAAAATACATAAAAACTCAAAATATCTATATTAAAAATTACGAAGTAAATCTCAAACGCTTATTTCCTCGAAAAAATTCCAGAAAGAATTAAGCATGATTTAATTGGCAATAATAAATGAATGCGTTATCTTTGTTGTTGGGAAGCTAAGTTTCTCTAGATTGGCAACAAATCCACTAGTCTCCTGTTTCAAATGTAAACACCGATGACCGCCATTAAAAACAGGCTTAGCGGCAATTAAACAACTTTAAAATTGCTGATAATTCTAAAAATATTGCACACAGATTTACTAAAGGCATAAAATCCTTAACCGGAAGATAAAAACAACATAATTTAATCATTTTTAAGCAAAAAATGTACAATTTACAAACATATAAGAGTAAAGAAATTGAGATCACTGAGCCGGGTAACAGAGTGGATATATATATAAATATATTTATATACGTTTGGCGCGGTCGATTGCAACCAAAATACGAGGTGCACATCTACATGTTATAGCAGTCTTATATACAAAATTTCAGCGTTCTGAGGCTACTCCTTTTTGAGTTATGCGAGATACGTACGTACGCACGTTCGTACAGACGCCACGAAAAATTCTCTTCAGAATTAATTTTAAAGCAGTTTTATAATTTTTTTGAAGGAAAAGAGTATTTTATTCTGTCCTTACGTACAGATATGACGCAAAAACATCGTTAAATTGCATTCGATAGCGGTCAAAAATGGATATTATCTTTGAAATATGCTGCCTGAAACTTTTCGCGATTACAATACTTCCTTTTTACTTCGTACAAGGAAGTAAAAACTAAATGATGAAGAAACTGGATTAATGTGAAAACAACAATGCTACTGAAGCCATAAAATTTTGAATAACTTAGTCCTCCAACCGAGTAAGAGCACTTGAAAGCCCGAATTTTGAATTTCGAATTTGTTTTATTATCTATTTTAAATTTTGTAAAGCTTTCACGAATTTTTGACTAACAAACTCAATGATTTCAAAGCGAGCAATGGTGCTACTGTACGGAAGGAAAAAAAAAAAAAAAATCTCCTGTGCGCGAGATTGTGGATCGGAAGTTCTAAAGATATGCTGTTTTTACATATTTTGTGATATTGTTGTTGAATTCAATTTATGTGTTTTAAGTGAGAAGAACGTGATATCTAATAAATAAAGGTAACACACGAAACGTTAAAAAAAACGCGCTTTACGGCGAAATATAAAATTTGAAAGCTTTCAGATTTTCTTTATCATAGTGTTGTTTAGTTTCAATTTTTGTATTCTGAAATCTTGTGTAGAAAATAAATCTTTTTTGTGAAGCCGTCTGGTTATTAAAGAAAACTTTAACAGACGCTCAGCCAACAAAATTTACATGCATTTACAACGTATTAACTCGCATTGTGCATCAAAAAGCTATTTTAAAGAAACGAAATAAGTCGTAGTAGGCGGCTACCAGCAGACTGACAGTCACGAAAGTTAAATGTATTTAATAAAGCCAACATTATTTCTTTTAACATAAGACATTATGAATTTCTCTTTCCAAATATCAGAATGAAAAAAGGGTTTTAATTCATGGTTTTTGAATGGGTTTGAATTCTCTTCTTTATTATTGCTCAGTAAAATATTTATTTTTGTTACCTTAAATCTTAGATCAATCATCTTAAAAATACAATATAAGCAACTGTTATAAACTCTAAAATGTTCGAAAGATTTATACAAGACACCATATCAGCTTTGGGGAATTCGCATCGGTAAATTTCGATAGTGTTGTGTCTTGATCAAAATGAAAAGTTCAAATTTTTGGACTTTCATCACTTAATAAATATTAGAAACTAATAAATTTTAAGACTACTTAGTCTTTGAAAATATATAGCAACTGTAGTGAGTTCAGGAACTGGAGATAAGTTGGCGCATCAAAATTTTATTGCGAATCGAAAGTAAAACACACATAATAAGCAAATTTTCATGATTGCGTAAATGTCCAGACATTTAATTAGCATTGTATAAAGATAAATAAAAGTACTTTACATATTATTGTTAAAAGCTTCTAAAGACATTTAAGACAATTTTAATCTAAAAAATTGATAATACATATAAGAAATCTTTTGAACAACCAACTAACTTTTATAATTCAATTCAAATAAAGAAAATTCTTTCCAAATTTGGAAAAGACTAATACCAATAAAAATATTACTTTTAGTGTATTTAAAATTGTAATTAACTCTTTCCGGTGAAGCCTTCGGTATATTTCTGGTAAGCTTATTTTACTTTTGCAGTCGCGTACCAGGAAATGTTCGGCACGATCGTGTAGCTATTATTTATATTACAAAATGAATATTTAATTATTAATTGTTTTATTATTATTTTACTATGCAGAAATTTCTAAATACTCTTTGGATCTTGTGACCTCAGAAATTTTTCAGTAGCTTAACATGCAACTGAAGTTAATATCTTTGTTACTAAATGCGACCGAAGTTAAGAAGGGAGTTCAGTCAGCTAAGGTCTTTTTCTTTGGTGAGTAGAGGACCTTTCTTTCGAACGAGCAGCAAATAGTTCTAAGTAGTACTAGTTCTTTCTTTTTTGTTTGTATGTGTTGTCATTGTTATTATTTTGTTGGTAAAAATGAACACCCAAGGGTGACAGAAATAAGTGAAAAGTCGAATAAATACGAGTATGAAGATATCGAAAATAGAATGAATTTTATGTGGGCAGATTTTTTTCCGATAATGATGCGATTAATGTCAACTACAGCAGTAGTTTTTATAATAGTAGTGCCCAACAAAAACATAAAAAGACATTAGACATATTAAATTATAGTTAGACTAAGAAAACATCAAGAAATAATTTTCTAAGTGATATTATATGGTAGACTGCTACACATGCAGACATCAATTTGCCCAAAATATCATTTTAAGCGAGAACAATAAATCCTTTACCTCATGTTCCCGTAGTATGTAATGGGGCAATTATTATTATAATTTTTCATTTCTTATTAACGAAGAATTACGCCAAAGCATTATTTGGCGAATAGAATATTACGTCATAATAACTCTCAGAAGAATCTGTGAAGAAGATCTATATCAAATAAGTAATTGGCTTGTGTTTTAATTGCAGAAATTTAAACATTTTTAGTTGCTACATTGGATATAGGCGTGATAAATTTAACGAAGCTAAGAGATTATTGGTCTTCTATGCATAGCACGAAAATTCCACACTTTTATGATACTATCCGACCTTTTTTCCAGGTTTACCCGATGCTGCATTAAAGGTTACTCGTAAACAGATAGATCAATTAATCGGCAACTTCCGTGACAGACTGCGAGATTCACACGGCAGAGCGTCAGTGTAAGACAAAGGTTAAGCGGAAATCTGCGTAATATGTGATACAACTAAGCAGGTCGGGCCAAGGAATACATAGTTTGTTCTGACATGGAGAAAGGTCGAAGAAGAAAATCCGGATATTATTATGCAATATACAGAATGAAAGCCAGGGTTATCTATATTCGATTGTTTTGAAATGTATATCATACCAAACTGAAAGTAGATCTGCATGAAATACTGAATATCTAGATAATAGGAAAAGGACATAGTTTAAATTATGTCATATCAATTAAGTTTGTACTTCTTTTAGATAATAATTGACTGACCACACTGGGAAACAAAAATAATTCCGATCAGTGCAAATATTATACCTTCCAGAAATGCGGGGGGATTAGGGTTTAAAATAAGATCTTGAGGAGAGTCTTGATGGAAGAAACTTCATTTTTGAGATTAGGAGAAAACTAAAATATTTTCAAGTGCTATCTAATATTGTGCTACGAAATCTTTCTCGTATTCAGATTGTAGAATCATTAGGATTTTTTGAAGCAGGAGGCATGAAAAAAAGCAATGCCCTTGCCGAGACTCGAACGTGAACCTCTCGAATATCCGCCGAGTGAGCTCCTTTCTACCATGAAGGCATCACTTCTAACATGCAGATAGCTTTATTGTACTTTGACGTAACCAATCTAATCCAACCAGATTATTAAAACGGATCTTTAAATATTCAGGGGGAAAAATGCTTCAGTAGCAATTCATGAGAAGTTAATAATCTATATTTTGGTGAATATTCTGAACTAATTTAGGGTACTTTTCATGTTACTACCATTTCTAAAATTTACAATATTAATTTTATCTATTAATTAGCAAATAATTAATAATTATTACTAATGTTACAGAATTTCTATCATTCAGAGCATTTTTCACTCGTAGTTCCGTATGTTTTAGAAATGCCTGTTATATTTTATATGTATAATATATAATCGTAAGTTTATTATAATTTAAATTTATGCATAGTATTCGAATTTATTTCAGTTTTCAGTTAAAAAAGCGCTCAAGTCGTTCTACATCCACTGCTATCTCATATGATAAATTAAATTACTATAATTTCTGTGAATTTTGAAATGAAACGAGGTATTATTCATTTTCAGAATTATTTAATTATAAGTTTTAAGATTAAAACTTCTCGCAATAAAATTTGATAATTAAAAAAATGCGTTCATTCTCGGATTCTGTTGTATTATTAATCGTTAGTAATTTACCTGTAAAATTTGTTAAAATAATCCTTACAGTATAAACAAGTTTATAATTAAGTAATGAAGACTAACTCTAAAGTGGTCGTAAAAGTCTATGCAGTGAAACTAATTAATTATAAATCAATTTTTAATACTCCAGATACTTTCTTCTGGGCTGGTTCTACTGTGCGTCCAAGTAATATTGGATTCATTGTTCCTGATGAAGAAGGAAGGTAAGAAACCTTAAACATTACGTATTGGTGATAAAATTAATATATCTAGTTTCTGATCTGAAATATTTTAATTCGTAAAGATAAAAATATTATTTCATTTACACTAAATTATTAAATCTTCTAAGATAATATTATTTCATGTAGGGGTGTGGATGGATGGCTTCAGTACGCTTACACATATTTATTGAAAATTTCCGTAAGGAATATAGCGTGGTAGTTCCCAGAAAATAAGCTATTTCACGTATACGTTGCTCATACCTATCCAGATCTTTGATACTGGAATTGCCAATAGGTTCATAGGAAAACTACGTTTCATACTTCTTTGAGTCTAAGAAAATATTGTTACGTTTAATTTTCTTCACTGGTTCGGGGATTTGGAGTGAATAACGACGACACTTGATGAAGTATCGAAACACACTCTTTATTTGCCCATATTGTCAGGAGATCTCCAAAACACGTTTTACAGTCTTCGATGAACTATTATAAACACGCTGACACGATCAGCAACACAGCCTTCAGGCTATCACGGTGGAGACAGCTTTACCGCAAAGCACCAAAGTACAGCTTTCGACTATCCTTGGCCGTTCTCGGAACTCCACGTACTCTCCAGACTCTCCACGCTACAACTCGCGATGCACTCGACGACACACAGAGCACGGCTCTCGACTCTTCGGTTCAGTCGTTCCCGGAGCTCAACATGCTCTCTCGACGATGCACTAAGAGACTCCTTCGGTGCACTCAACGACCCACTCGGCACTCGTTGCCCGGCTGTCAACTCGATCGACTCCGCACGGCTGGCTAGACGAGGCGCACTCTCTGAGACACACACACTGACCGACTGCGGACCAGCAGGGTTTATATAGCTTTCGGCCTGTGTTCGAGAACATTCTGGGCTAAACCTGTAAGGAATTCGTTCCAGAATTTTCTCAAACCGTCCATGGTATATCGCCAATTTTGTCGCCAAATGTGGCAACTCTTCCCTCCTTGTTATTTTATGGCAACCCTAAAACTGCTGTGCGGGGAAGCCAACTTACCGCGCCTGTACATTTCGTAACAATATGTTTCCTTATTTCATCTTCCATACTCTTATTCATCTATCTTTTGCATCGAAATGTCTATTGTCCCATACACCAATCTGTTTCTTCGGTATCCAACAGAGAACCCAGCGTATGTAAGGTATTTTCGGTATTATTCTGTTATCAGGACAGCATCCAGAAATGTATGTCTGATGAATGAATGTTTGTTACCGTGAAAGACCGAAATTGGAGAATGTCGACTTTCACCGGAGAATGTCAACATTCACCAAATAAGTCGGTGAAAGATCGAATATTTCTTTACATTCTTGTACATTCGGACCCTCACCGGTGTATGTCGACAATCACAGATATGCTCTGGTGTAGGTCGAAAAGAAAGGAGTATATGTACAGGCTGCCATTCCAAAAGGAAGCGTTCCACAAATAAATGCAGTTGTAAAAGCAAAGGCCTCTTGTGCAATTCAAAGTGTCATAATAGTTTAAGCTGTTGCAATAAATAAGATTTGAATCACATAATTTGGTAAGTTTATAACTTCTATTATTTTCCTTTCTCATTTTGAATGTACTGTGTGTTTTAAGTTCTTATATTCTGAAGTTCTTATTCCGAGTCTCAAGTGCGTTTTCTCGCGAATGAATTACGGAGAAGGAAATATAATATTCTTATATGTTAAACATTCACCATTAGTACATGGTGAATGTCGACATTCACCGGTGTAAGTCAGAAATAAGAGTATTAGGAAAATATTTCGGACATACACCAAGCGACTATGTGAATGTTGACATTCACCGGTGAAAGTCGACATTCTCCAGATTTCGGTGTTTCACCGTAACATATACGTACATAAACACGCTCATACATTTCTGAATCTGGTTCCGATGACAGAACAGTACCGCATTTTCTCATCTGTCCCAATGGACAGATGTGAAAAAGTGTACTTTTTCTTGTTGTACACTGTAGCATCTTGGAAGTCCATAAGCGATATCTCAGATTATTCGAACTATGGAAATCTTTTGCAAGACGTGGATGAAAATTTTCGGGGACGGGTCAAATGTTCATTAATAGAGCCGAGTTTGCCTTAACCAGTCGGGTGAAAGTTTGATGTACAAAGAATAACTGCTGGGGAACGAGAACTGGGAATTTTAAGTATTTCTTTTTAGAGAATACTAGTAAAATTTACAACCGTCTATAATCTTTAACTGAACTTTTATTCTTCGCTATTGATATTAACAAATGCAGAAGATTTATAAATAGAACAGTCTCAGAGGTTGATCAGTCAAGGAATAAGACTTTAGACAGAATTAGATGAATAATGCTCTAAATCAGTGGTCTTAAACTGCATGCCGGCCGAATGCACGATCTGAAAACAGCTGATGAGCCATATCTGTTTTTCTTTTTAACAAAATGAAAATTTTTTGTTCACAAAATAAAAAATACTTTAAAGAAGTTTTAAATTTCGGTTACTAAATTTTATCAAACATACACAACAGCTGTAATAATATCGCAAAGGAAAAGAACTCGAATTTATATTTTCTGTACGAAATCTAAAGTTTGATACCTACAAGACATTTTTGTTGGTTACACTTTATTGTTCAAATATACTGATAGCAGAATAATAAATTTTTAGATTAACATTTACTTCAAATAATTCTAACGTGTTTAATTAATCGTTAAACAACTTACTTTAATTTGAACTAAAAATAAGCAAAGTATGAAATCTTCCTAGGTTTTTCAGAGAAAATTAACTAAGTGGCACAAAACTTCGGAATACATGACAACCTTTCTCTTATTTACTAAATTTTTCTTCGGCTCATAAATAAAAATATGTATTTATACGTTTTTATGTAGATAATAATAAAATTTTTTATTTCTAATAATAGCTTAACACTTGATGAAGTTTCGTTTCTGGTTGAGTTTGTAACCTTGGGGAGAAATTATTAGAAATTATCTTCATCAAGGGTTGTAGATGCTTATCGGGCAATCGCGTTCTTTTGTTATTAATTTTCAATTGTTAAAAAAATCTATTTACATATAAATGTATTCCCAAATAAAGCGAGTATTCTTAGTGCACAAATTCGCAACTGATCTGATTTACTTTCTGATGACATGTACGAAAAAATATTAATAAAATTTCAAATCTTTGAGTTAAAAGTAACACTGCAAATTAACTCCAGTTGTAGATTTTCCTAGTGCGCTATTCATTATTAACAATTAATGGGCTGTCGGGCTTAAAATAATAAATCTTTGCCACACTGTATTTACAAACAAGTACATAATTGAAATGTATTCGCGGTCTGGTAAAATTTCTTCGAGAGATGCCATTTTAAGACCACTGCTCTAGCTTACTGCGCGGTGGTAGAATAACGAGGCATAAAAGAATAAAAAGAAGACTGAAGAGGTTATCACATTTCATTCAAGAAAATAATTTTCTGAAATCAATGGTCATGACACAATACACATATATAAGTCAAAACAAGTTTGGTACTTGAAAATACAAAAAAGTCGGTTAAAATATTAAATATGTTGTGAACAATTATTGATATTATAAGTACCAGCCTACATGCCCATTAATAACAAATGCTTTTGGTGTGAATATAATAGGATAGAAATATCAGTACTTTAACAAAAGGTGAAAATTTGACCCAGAAATTTTATTTAAATGAGTCTTCAAGTGTCATTCAATTCGTAAAATTATTTTTTTATTTCACACATCACTCAGAGACAAAAACTTGTTACATGTAGACTTAAATGTATATAAAGTTAAAAACATAAGCTTTTTTTAACAGTAAATTAAATATATACACGGGAAAAAACTTTTAACAGGAATGGCTTGCTATAAGTATAGTTGTACCTTTTCAGTAGGTCAAGATTAGTGTTTTCTTTCAAGAATTTCACTTTAAGTTCGTCTTTCAAGTGCTTTCTTTTTTCTTTCTATTAAATTTTTATTAGAACTTAAATTAGAGGAAATTATTCATTTGTTCTAAGAAACATAATTAATTCTTAGAACTAATTAGCATAATAATTAGATAATAACTCATGTTTAAAAATATATAAAAATGTTCTGAAGCAACTGTGTTTATAAATACAGAGTGTTTCAAAAAGAATATATGTATTTAGAATGCATATATTTATTAAACTGTATGACATACGAATATGAAACTTTACACACGTATGTACGGACCTCTCAAGTTCAGGTTAGAGATGTTACAGAGGTTCAATATGTTCTCCATCAACGAGACGAATTTCTCCCATACTCGGGCAAGCATGTCCGTCGTCACTGATGTTATAGCGGTACGGATCCGGTTCTTCACCTCTTCCAGGTTATGTGGGAGTGGTGGTACATAAACATTGTCTTTAATGTAACCCCACAGGAAGAAGTCACAGGGTGTCAAATCCGGTGACCATGGAAGCCAGCTGAGATATGCTAAATCGCCAGTTCCTTGACGACCAATCCAAGGTTCCGTAGCGTTTCATTCAGATAATCACGCACTTGGCAACACCAGTGATGGGGTGCCCCGTCTTGTTGAAAAATGAAGTTGTCTTCTTGCAGCTTCGGAAACAACAAGTTTTGTAACATAGCGAGATACTGCTAACCCTTAACCGTCTTTCCATCAAAGAAGACTGGGCCGTAAGCAGATGATTGGGATACCGCACAAAACACATTGATTTTGGGCGAATCTCGTACATGTTCAATGGCTGCATGTGGGTTCTGTAGGCCCCAAATTCGAACATTGTGTTTGTTTACATGACCACTAACATGAAAAGTCGCTTCATCACTGAACACGATGCGTTGTGCGAAAGTGTTATCATTGTCAATAGCATCAATAATCTCGTTGCAAAAGGCCTCACGTTTGCGTTTGTCATCAGGACGCAAAGCCTGTAGCAAATGTAACTTGTACTGCTTCGTAATCAACCGACGTCTCAAAACACGCCAAATTGTGGTTGTAGGCAGTTGTAAGTCCCGACTGGCACGAAGAGTTGATTTTGAAGGATTACGTTAGAAAGCAATTTGAATTCGTGCAACATTTTCGTCGGGAACACGAGGGTGGCCAGGACTCTTTCCTTTACATACACATCCTGTATTTACAAACTGTAAATACCATCTGCGAATATTCCACCCACTCGGAGGATCACTTTGGTACCTCAACTTGAAACGTCATTGCACTGTAATCACGGAATTGCACTTCGCAAACTCGAGAACACAAAATGATTTTTCTGCGGAGTAGCATTTTAAACATGTGACGGTTACCACGCAAAACAGAAAACAACGGACATCTTGGCGGCTATTAATATAAATTAGACTATGTATTCGTTTCGCCAATAGCCGAGCCGAGGCGCAGTGATCGATAGTTTGGACAAAATAACGCTTTGTAATACGTATATTATTTTTGAAACACTGGGTATATACTCAAAATAAATATTTATTTCGATAAATAATTGTACATTTTATAGGTATTTTATAAGTTAATAAGATGTATATATTAGTCTTAATTTATTTCAAAATGTACGACGATTGTTTTGCTTCGGCCTACGTAAAGAGCGATACATCATATAGATTTGATATAGGCTTTATCTGATATGATATAGCCTTTATTTTTACATAGCCATATGATATAGCCTTTATCTTCTAATATCAAAGGTTACATCGAAGAGTGAGACATCCTTTCAGTCCATAGAGATTTATGCAATTTCAGTTTAATATTACATTTGCCACCATTTTCAAACTGAACTCCTGATATAAACTTTTCTAAATATGAGAGATTTTAGAGTATTGTGGTCTGCCACTATTTGGATACGGCTTTAGTTTTTAATCACTTGCATATTCGGTCTGGGAGTATTTATCTGCATGTAAAGTTTCATTCGGCTCGAAGGGTATTTAAAAATCCGCTATTATTACTTTCTCTTTTACTTTTTTTGGGAGTTAGAATTGCTAGCATTATGCATCTTCTGAATACCTTAAAAAGTTATTTCAGATTTCATGTTCCAGATCTGATATGTAATTTATAATTCTTTATTACCTTGCTTATTATTTATACTGCGGTTTTTTTATGCCAGATTTTGAGAAATTTTGGGAGGTGTATTTTTCTCCTAAATATGTTAAAATTTCTTTTTTTTAGCCCAAAGGGCTATTAATTTCGTTTTTGCATTTTTGCGTCATCCACTATAAAACAGAATTTCACTTTTCAGACTGTTGCCACCGAATATTAGAGCCCTAGATTATATTTAAAGAAATTAAATAATGAAGAATCTGCATGTATGTGAAAAAGCAACGGTACCTAGAAACATCAAATTTTGAATAACGTAGTTCTGTCCTTGAATATGAGTATCCGGAAGCACAAATTTAGAATTTGTTTTATTACCTATTTCATATTTTGTAAAAATTTAAGGAATTTTTGATTAACAGACTCAATGATTTCAAAGCGAACAATGGCAACACATTACGGGGGAAAAAAAGTATCTCCAGCGCGCGAGACTGGGATTTCACTTTTATTTTTTAAATGCGAAGAACATGCTATTTAATAAATAAAGGTAACACACAAAACGTTAAAAAAAGCCCCTTTGGGGCGTAATATAAAATCTGAGAACTTTGACTCTTTTTAACTGTCTTTTAATTCCGAGCACATTATTCATTAATAAATGTAAATTTCAGAACAAACAGGCTCCAGAGGTATGTGAATGAAGATGTGACCTTGAAACTGCCAGATAACCGAAAATTATCGTCAATAAAATGGCTCGCTGTCTGGGACCTTAGAGAACATGTAAGTTTAGATCTTTGAAAATGTTTCAGGTATTTCTTTTGTTTGTACTTTTTTGTTTGTTCGTAATTTGATTTGACATTGTAAATGTTTATTCTATCCCCCCCAAAGCTATATATCTTAAGCCATAAATTCGTAATGTATTTGATATTATTTTAGCAATATTCAACACCTTTTGCCGCATTGTTTAAATCTGGAAAAATGGATGTTCTATTTGAAGAACCACTTAAGCCAGCGTTTCTCACTTTTTTAAAGTGGGGACCATTTTCATAACTAAGAATATTCTGCCTTCCGAAATTTAAAAAAAAAAAGATTAGCCATAAAACGTTGAAATTTTGTATACGAGACTGCTATAACGTCTAGTTGTACACCGCTCGTTTTTACTGCAATCGCCAATACCAAACGTGTGTTTATATGTATATAACCACACATACACTCACTCCCGTTACCCGGCCTTCATTTTCGCAATCATTGGTCGTAGTCACACAGTTTGAATTACAGAAGTGTTATAAATAGCAAAAATATTCATGCTTTGATAACACTAAATTAAAAAAAAATAATTCTGACAAATAACGAAGTCTAATTTTTAATGCATTCTCTTGGTTTCTATATTTACATTTGAAAGTTTTATACTCGTTATGAATAAATAAAAATACAAGAAACTTGACTCCCGTACAACAAAAATGAATCGTGATATTTAGCTTCAAACATTTGCGATTTTTGATGTCATTTTCAGTTTGCCTTGAGGGATCGGTTAATTAAGTTAGAATACTTCTAGGAATTAAGTTTAAAGGAGGTTTACCAAGGTTAAAGCAGGTTTTTAAGTGTATAATTTTATATGCCTTACAAGGAACTCATGTGGTGTAGACATCATATTTTTTAGGATATGTTATTACCAGTATAATGTTTTTTAAAATAAAATTAAATAAGTTTTTAAAGTTTTATATTAATGTGTTAAGTAATTAACTTTAAGGTAATGTATATTCATTTTTATAAACGCAAGAATATTAGAGTGGATACTCTTTATTTTATTAACTAAAAATTAAAATGAGCTTACCGATTTTTGCACAGCTAAATTCTATGTTTGGATGTAAGCTGATCGGTTTGAGACATATATCAAATCGATTTGGTTCTTTTTTTTTTTTACTTTAGTGATGGAAATCATTTCTCACACATATGCAGAAGCAAACCGAATTATACTTTTTGAAGCATTATTGTATGGTTTACTGTACTTCTTTTCCACTGGTAATGAGATCCACAAACTAACCGTACCCTCTGCATGGAATTTCGTTTTGAGTCTGGTGTCATTTAAGAGTTCAATTAATTGTTCTGTTTCATTCAGTGACAGTTTATTTTCAATACTACAATCAAAAGCATTACGAGCTCATGAAAATTTGTTATATATAACAATTGAAATATAAGTTTCAGACTGTGAACTCAAAGTTCTGAGATATGAACATGTGTTCCCATTGCATAATTCTTTTCCAATATTGATGTCATTTTCTACTTAAACGATTATTACAGCTGGAAATGGTGAAAGGTTTCTTTGTTTAATACATCTAACCTACAAGCCAAGCTTTCCCCCAAACCCGATTATTTTCTTATGGACATTGAGAACGGGCAAAGAATTACCTTTAAACGAATATTTAGTTAATTTTAGTTTTGAGACTAGATCTGAAATGTATGCCAATGTACCGATCAGAAGAAATGATGGGAAATGTTCGTTAATTTCACAACTAAGAGGACTTACCATAACATTACTTAAGTTCAAAGAACCTTGAGAGTACTTTATACCGTGGGATCCAGAGAAACTCAGAGTGAGAAAGCTGTTTGTGCTCGCAACTCACGTCATCACGAAGTAATGAAAATATTCTGTTGTTCAGTAGGATTGTTTTAATTAAGCTGATTACCTTAATGTGTTCTTCTGACATGGTTTTTAATTTAGATGATATATCTTGGGATGCAAGGCTTTCCTGTGAATGAAATAATGGCTCCGGGTAACATCAGGGGACAGAGCTCTAACTTTAGCTACTACATAATTGTGCCTAAATGCGGACGCACAAGCCCCATTCAAACAAAACCTGCACGTTTGTTTCAATCAATTTCATGCTCTTGTATGTACACGTTTTGGATTAAAAAAATTTGTCCTCCAGTTACACGTGTTGGCAGAATCTTTGAAAGTAACATAGCTTCATGAACATCATTGCTGAATTCATGTCTGGCAACTGCATATCATTCAAGATGTCTGTTGTCTTGTCTATCTGAAGTGAATAAAATAGACTTTCTTTTATTCTCTTCATAAATTTAGGTTCTCTGTTAATAGCCCCATCATTTATTTGGTTTGTAACTCCATCGCATGAGAATGTAGTAAATCGGTGGCCTTGGGTAATTTTTTACCAAATATTTTAACTATATCTTTTATAACTAGAAGTTTTCATAGGCCGCGCATACATAAAAGGGATGGCCCACTCTTTGCAACGTGAAGACTTATAATACAGGACGCGACGCCTCTAAGGTCTTTTTAATTGCAGAACCTATATTAGAAATAAATCTCCAGTAATTTCGTGATAGGTTAACCTTGAGTAAAAAGAGATAGACAATTCCCTCATCTAATTTACAAACTCCGAGAGTTACAGCTATAATATGACATATGCAGTTAATTTGAATTTTATTTTGTCTCTGTTTTGGAAATTTGGAAGGCTATCAAAGATAAACTTCAGTGACCACTTGCAGTCCGTGGATCACAGATATCAGAATCCCTGGCTTGTGATATTGAAATTATTTTCCCCATAAAGTTTTCAGCAAAGGAATTGTTCTCATAATAAGGAAAACAAATTTATTTTTAACCCGATTATGGGCAGAAAATTGAACTTTTACAAATGGATTTTATTTTCCCTTGCACTAATTATGTTCATTGTCTTTAGAAATTCAGTTTTGAGCCAACTGACTAATTATTGCTAGGAAAAATCAGTTAGTCAAAATACCGTACATTTAATATTACTAATAATACAAATAATACAAAATGCATAATTTAAAATTTTCTTGAAATAGTTTCTTCTCCAAAATGAGAGCGTATTAAGAATCAACGACTTGAGATGTATGAAAACAAGAACCATGAATTTTTCTTTTTCTTCAAGATTTGACGACTTGGATTCCTTTTTCTTGCATTTCCTTATAAATTGATTTTTTTTTTCTTTTGTGTTTTATGAGTCAAATTGGCAATAGAATTATATTATTTCTATGCTAACAGATTAGTCTTTTTCACTTTGAGAGTTGAATTGTGCTTGGCAAATACATTATTTTAGTTGCTCTGTTAATGACGTATTTTAGGGGTATTCCTTAAATGCATATTTCACATGCTTTTGCATAAAAATTAAGAATAAGAAAAGAAAAAAATAAGGAGAGAAATCATAGTTCAGATCAATTCAAAAGCTTTGATGACATAATAGATGAACAAAAGGCGAAACATCCTATTTAACAATATAATTTTGTTTCCAAATTTTGAAAATAAACGGAAAGTTTACTTGAATTCAGTATTTCTATTTTTAGGTTTTAGTTTTGTTAATGTGGATAGAGTAATAAGGCGTTCCATAGAAATGATCTGAAGGAAGATTTAGAAATGGGCTGAAGTTTTTACAATAAAAATACTTTGCTCTATTGAAAAATTAAATTAAGCTAACATCATCGACATTTATAAATTATAATTCAGTTTTCATAAACTGTGATTTTTTTCCATTTAAATGTTTTAAATATTGTTTTATAAGAAACAATTTTTTATTCAACATTATGTATTTATTTATAGAAAAGAATTCATCTTTATGGTTTTTGTAACAGTTGCATTTATCCATGACTGTCAAAGAGTCGAATTTAGTTGCTTTTGACATTTGCTTTGATATATGAACACTTTGAGCCCGGGGCCGAAATTGCTGTCCTTTCCCTTCAGCTTTTTTTGGTAACAAAATGTAAAAAATACGGCTTAGCTGTATTTTTTTAGAATGTTTCAATAAATTTCATTAAAACTATATTTGATCACATCTCATTGAGACTATATTTATTTTTTAACTTTAACACTGTCTGTATTTAATATTGTCGGTTCCGCGGACCGACGCCAACCAAATGAAAATTCCAGCGCTGATCCCTAGGCACCGACGCCGGCCACACGGAAAGTTCACTGCCGGGCTCAACGTGTTAATCAACAATAAGTTTATTCGTAAGTAGGGGATAAAGTTTAATGCATTGTAAGTTTAATCATCGTAAAGTTGAATGCACGAAAACATTCAAAAATGCTTTTACTTTCACAGATTTCCATCTCTCATAAAGTATAAAATCATTTTAGCTTTTGTATAGTCTGCTTTAGCTGCACAAATTATTCGTATCATTTTACTTATTTATACACTTCTCTGTATTTTACTTCCAGAATAATCTGGCTGATGTATATATTCCGGAAGGTCTAGAACCTCCTTCACCGCAGAGAATTTCTGAAATGAGCAGAAATTCTCATGGGGTACAATCCGACGGTGTAGTTGTTGAAGATTCGAAGACCATCACCATACTGAATTTGTTTTATGATGGCAATGAAACAGGTAATTTCTTTAGTCATAATTTAATGAATTTACGTTTGAATAAGAAAGTTTTCTATGCAATAATAAAAAATTGAATAACATCATTAAATAAATTTTTGTATGCTGATTACTGTGTGCTGTATTTATTGAATGTTCCACGTACAGACAATTAATTAAAAAGAATGAGGTAATGGGCATAAATTTTACATTTTTTTGTCAAACAAAGGGTTAAAAATTGGAATTTCAACACCTGCAATTGTGAAATTTGTGTAATAGAAGTGAATTATTTCTGATTTCTAGTTCTTATGCTATTAAACAGTTAAATGAGCAGTTATAATGATTTTGAATCAAGTAAAATTCCATCAACGCGCAGTTTAAAACTTTTATATATTGTCTTCTATAGAGATCTGCTTAACGTTTGTGAAACAAGCATTTTATTTTGATATTTTCATCGAATGTATACTTGAATTTATTAGCTGAAACATATTAACATATGCAAATTTGGTATTTCTCTATCAAAGGCGTCACATAAATTTTTGGCGATATTTTAGATTTACAGATTATAAATTAGGCAAATGTGCCAATTGCGGTAACTAAGTGTCGACTTGGCTATAATAAGGAAATATCAAAAGTATTTTTAATATTTATTGTATAATTCTTTCTTTAATGGTTATTGTACAATAATATTTAACACGTTGGACCCCGCACCGGTAACTCTTATTTATGCTTCGAACAATATCAGTCACCGGTGTACTTTCCGTTCGGACACCGTCAGTCACCAGTTTCTAACAATTTACTTTCCATTCGGGAAGCGTCAGTCACTGGTGACTGTCTATTTTTCGTTTCGATCGCGTGAGTTACTGTTGATTGACAATACAACAATTAAAAATACATTCTGTCATTATGAAATTCTGCACAAATCTCTGGACGCCAGCATCAAATCGGTTATAGCAGACTAAAAGGAAAAGAAGAAATAACATGGTTGGTATTTAACATGTTAATAATTAGAAATATTTTGCAGATAAAATAAGAGAATGAAAACAAATTTTGATAAATAAATAAATATTTAAAACATTTTACTTTAGAAGTAACCGAAGATTTTGCCTGCAGTTAAAAATATTTTTCTATAGATATACATTATACGCTTAAAACAAAATTTTTCTTATTATTTCAAATTAAATTTAAGTATTATTTTGCAGATGTATATTTTTGGGCAGGTGTAGGCCCTCAACCAACACCTTTCGGTCAGAAAATACCCGATGAAAAGGGCTAGTAAGTATTCATTTATATTTTTGGTATATGTAAATTTCCTTTTAATTTTACGTATTTTCTTTTCTGATGAAAAATCGCTTTCTCTGAAAGAACAATAAACATCCTTATTATCTTAAGCTACAGAATTATTGGCTTCTTTGCAACATTAAATCAATATACATGAGCAAAAACTATGAAGACAATTTGCCTATTGAAAGTGAAAACTAGAGAAAAGCATGCAAAGGTATGCAATTATATTTGAAGCATCATCATTGTAAATTCTGCGATTATAGTTACGCTATGTATTTTATATAATCAATCATCTGCATTGTATCATTTCTATGAGTGAAGAAAAATATTAACTTGCCGTCCACAATAGCAAAATGATATGTAAGAAGTACTGTTGCTTATGCTGTATGCTTATGACAGGTAGCTTATAGTTATTAAATGATATACAACTTTCAAGTAGATGTTTCCTAGACACAAATTACCAGAACTTTTAAGATAGGCATGAAACTACATTACGCATTTCCAATTTTGAAACTCGGTCTGCTGTAAAAATCAGGGATTCAAGAAAATCGGTTTTGCATATTTTCATCATCAATACCAAATTATGTCTTTTGTGCAACTATTCGCCCATAGGATGCTTGGTTAATATTGCTATATATGCAAGCATTGAATTAGAAGGAAAATGGAGAACACTTCAGAATCAGGAAACAGAAGTTCTAGGCTTTAAATTAGGGAAGCATTTATGATTCTCTTTATAATGCTTCAATGGATCATTTGTATGGGTATTTTGTGATTTTTAAAAGTATTTTGTTAATACCAGGAAATCTCCATTAGAAATTCTCAAAACCTTTCTTTCTCCTAAGCAGAAAGCCCTTCCTGGCGTTCTGCCATAACGCAATTTCATTGCCTCATTGTCGATGTTTTCATCTCTTGTTAAGTACTGAGGTTATTTATTATCTGTGTTTCATTAGTCCTTAAGTAATGCAACACTGCAGAGTGTCAGTGTTCAAAAATGCCCATATTTTATCATTTATTTTTAAGTACAGCTATTTGTCTTTTCTGACAATCCTTTCTTCCTAACGTTCCCCTCAGCGATTCTAGCTGGCAGTTTACAAACTTTTCTTTTCTCATTGTCGCAATCTCAGTAATGAGCTCAGATTGCAACTGGCGCAATAAGCTTAATCTCATTCTCTCATAGGCGATGTTTCATCTGCCCTTAAGTAGTAAGATTGGTCATTGTCAGTATCTCTTTTTAGATACTGTAAAAGTACGGAATTTCGATGTTCAATAACACCCATATTTTCTTAGTTCCATGGAGGTATAGTTATATTTGTCAAAACTGACAACCCTATTTTTCCAAAGTTCCCTCTGGCGATCCTAGCTGCTAGAGTATAATTGTTGCAATTTCAGCACGATGATTTGATTACTATTGTAGCAACGTTCAGACTGAGCTAGCAGCAATGAACTCAATCTCTGTCTCTCATTGTGGATGTTTCATCAGTTTTTAGGTACTGAGTCTGGCCATTGTTGATGTCTCATTAATCTGTAGGTACTATAATAGTACAGAATGTCAGTTTTCAATAACGCCCATATTTTTTCAATTCTTTTGAAGTATAACTGTTTTTCCAATTTCACAATGATATCTTCCTAACATTCTCCTCAGCGATCCTAGCTTCTACGTTATGAGCTTTTTTTTTTTTTTTTTGTTTTTAACTGTTAGAAACAGGACAAGCAACATATTACAAAATGTATCCCTAACAACTCTATTTTTTAAATAGAAAATTAGGTAAAATATAAATTAATCACTTGTAAGATGCTGAAAAGCATACTTTTTGGTAGCTGAAATACATGGATGAAAAAACAGGCTCCATTTCTTTTCTATAATTCATTTTTATAACGCCTAATTACCGCTTTTGAATGAGCTGTTTTTTCAGTATGTCAACTTTCATGTTATTTTTGCCCTTAACAGGAAATTTTGAAAGAAGAATAATATATTTTTATTCTTTTTCTTGTAATATATTTTAAAAATTCACTCACTTTACAGCTTGAACTCATTAACAAAGTATACTGGCAAGGATGTTACTCTGAGGCTCCCAGGAAAGTTAACTATGGATGACATTGATTGGCTGAGCATTTACAATGTAAGAAAGCAAGAGAACTATGGGTCCACTGTCATTCCGGATAAATTGAACATTCCACCTTCCCTGATACATGTCATAGTGAGTATTTTTCATTAGTGTGTATTTAATTACGGCAAAGCACACTAGGGCTATTGCAAGAGGAGGGAGCCTTTGTGGAGACTTCTAGGGAAATGGCCGTTTCACGTTACACATGGGGAAAACCACGAAAACACCCATGCAGCCAGCCCGTTCGCGGGATTCGAACCTCGGACCGAACTACCAGTGTTCAGCGACTTTACCGCTCGGCCGCTGGTGGGCTATTTTTCATTAGCTTCATATTACTTGTAAATAAAATTGAATTATAAATCTAAATTTCTGAGTTAAAAAATGTAAAACTTGGAGTTGAAACACCTTATGAGTTTTAGGTTATCTTCTTCCTCTTTTCGTAGCAATGTTGAAGAACAAAATCAACTTCAGTGACGTAACATCATAGTATATACGTTTAATCATAATATGCGCATTGCTTTTTTTATTGCCGTTAACATAAATCTGGATCTCGGTACATTTATTTCTTCACTTCATAATAACCTTTCTTGCAAATAAGCATAGCTGTTGTTCAGTTCTGTGCATAGTTGTTAAGCAAATTTGTTGCGTTAAGATTTCGCGGATTTCCTATCATGTAGCGTAAGTCGGATGCAGTTTCTCTCAAAGTCTTCCATGATGGTATCTTACGCTTAAGGTATGGTCCTAGTGTGTTTTCTCCATTATCAATTAATCTAGTAACTTTACAAGCATTTCATTTAAAGGGAAAAGTAAATTTTCCTAACAACTAAGCATCGAAGGGGGGAAATTTGATTTAACTTAATACTGAATAACTACTTACTTGATTTTAAGTTTGATTAAGTTTTGATAATAACTAAGCATCAAAGGGGGAAAACTTGATTTAACTTAATGCTGAATAACTATTTACTTTATGTTGAGTAGGTATATTTATTAATTAGCAAATCTTTTATAGGTATTCTGCATGTTAAAAAATTGCCGATTTCCTTTTTAGCAAAATGGTTTTATAATGACGCGACAAAGTTTAATAATAATGTTTCTTAATGATTTTGATCTTGCGTACTCATATAAGTACAAGTACACAAAATATTAGCATTGTTACTTCAATAGAAGGAAATTATTTAAAGGAAACAAATCTGTAAAGCAAAAGTACAAAATATGAGGAAGAGTAAAACAGTTATTATTTTTCATTTATTAATGTAACATTTAAAAATTAGTTTTGTGAAAGCCCTTTATAATTTTTAATTCCATTAGTTCTAAAAATGGACATGTATTAACACCTCGTTTCTGAGGAAAAAGACAAACAAATCTTTGCTTTCCGTGAAACCATTTACTGCCGCCTTTTTTATCTCATTATCTGCACTAGAGAAATCCGCTAACTGTAGGTGGTAAAATTTTATAAACTTTTTACGAGTAAAAATTTAGTTCTCTAATTCACTTACCTTCTAAAGGGCTGTCCTGGAACATGTTCGTTTTCCTTTCGAAGTCCATTTCTTTTAGTCTACACTAAATTCCATTCACCGCAGACCTGTAATATATTTTTCAGAAATTTATTATTAACATACGAAATACACAATATTTACAAGTTAATCAATATAAAGTACGTTTCAGATATATACTAGAACGGTCTATCGTTTTGAATAATATTAGAGGCGTCACTCATTCAACTAAGTACTTTTGTTTCTTCCTCCAGAGGGCGTCCGCAGTTGTTGCGTTATTAGCAGGCAAACGCGACAGAAGGTAATGAGATAAGTCTTAGAAACCTGACAAAGGTATTCCCAATATATCTTCTTCTCCCCTCTGGTAAATGTTTCATTTTTTACCTTTATCATATAAAAGTGGGATAATCGTTATATCATTCTCTACATACTTATTTTCTTGAGGGGTCGGTTATTTTGGCCGCTTACTAACGTTTTACCTATGAAACCAAGAGCTATTGCTGCAGTAGGGAAAAAATATAATAGTATATGCAGTAACTAGTTTACTAAATGATTTCTGTTTTACTAGGTGTATCGGGGATGGGCTCTGACCTGACGTTCGTAAAATTATTCGGAATCAGTTCTATACTTTTTAATAATGCAAGACTTAGAGTGCAAATGAAAAAAAAAAAAATTCTTACCTAGAATCATGAACTGACACCAGTTTTGATACATTCATGACTAACTTACATTGTTTAGGAACACGAGTCTCCTCTGCCAAATTGTGAACAACTGCATAGAGACCTAATGTTGAGCTGGGAAATATTCGGACCTGCTATAACTTTTGAGCTTGCTGCGCAGATCGGTAAGTCAAGATAGATAATAAATTTGTCTTTGTTTGATCTGAATGCTAATTATTTTATTAGCATGCTTTTCTCTTTTTTCCAGATGAAGATGAATACATGGCCGTTGGTATTAGCGGTTCAGACAATAGTTCTCAGATGATTGGTTCTGATGTGGCAGTAGCTTATATGGACGGTCTTTTGGGTATTACAGCTGATTACAATATTTCGGGGAAATTTCCGGTAAAAAATATATTTATAATATTAATAACTATTTTATAATGCAGATTTCTATTAATAAATTTGTATGTTTTGTATTTATGCAGGTTATTCATTAAATTTAAGACTATTAATGCTCCTTACTGATTAATTTTGCTTAATGAAATAATTCTTTCTATGGATTTAATATATTTCAATAAGCGCTCAGAAAATTAAAACTTTTTATTGTAATCGTATTTAAAATATAGTTCAAGGAATAAAAGAAATGATGGTTCATTGAAGACATAAAACTGTAACTTATCATGGTTGAATCTCTACAGACTAAATTTGACTTTCTACATAGTCAAAAGATATTGAAAATATTTGTATACTTGAACTTGATATTTGCTCAGTAGCTGATCAGCTAGCATGAGATATTTCTATAAACAGCAAAGGCGGCTTAAGAATAATGCTGGCCACACTTTTTGTTTCTCACTGTGGTCTTGTAATTGTGAGACACCATTCCCACAACCCATCTGGCTCACTGTCAGTACTTTTACGGAAAATACTATTTACCCACTATTTTATGAGATACCTTTTTATATATTTCAAGTAACTGATTTTTGTTTCCGCGTCGCTTCTTATGTATGGCTTAATTTTAAGCGGTTAAAAAATATGTTACTCTATACAGAAGAAAAGCAGCGTTAAAACATTATTTTAAATGAGATTAAATTTGATAGAAGAGAAATATGTAATGAAAAAACGATTATGTAATGAAAGTCAAATAATTACATGCCGATGCCGGGGAAATTAGTAAATTATATGGCAAACATTTCGTTTGATGCAAACATTAACTATAAATAAATGATTTAGTGAGTGTTTGAAGAATTTTGTCATGAATGCAGTGCAAAATTCTATTATTGAACTCTGTTAGTGAAGTTTTCTTCATTTACAGTATTAACTCGACGATTATGTACCAGAGAATCTCAATTATCAAGAGATTTGTGTATCGTACTAGATAAAAAGTCATCTATAAAATGTATTGCGAAGGATGCTTGCTGATGTGTTTGTTGCATGTAGCCTTATATTAGTCTACTAAAGAACACTGTTTGGTTTGGTACAGCAGACAGGATTATAAATTAAGCAAAATAATCATGTGCTTTAGGGCATCAAATAAAGAGGGAACCTCAAAAAGACTTTTGGAACTTAAGGAAAGGGAGCATCATAGAAATTCCTCATTACCGGTTTACTATGGAATGCATAGTGCAGCTAAACCAAGACTGAGAGAGAAGTAATGGGGAAAACAAAGGAGTTACAGTGCAAATATATGTTGGGGGCACGAAAATCTTTTACCTGCTTGTGGCATCTAAAAGTCTTAATCCCGCCCTGTGGTACGCTCAGCCGCTAGCTCACTGCTATTGCTGTTCAAATTCCAAATCGAGACTTGGAAGTTGACCAATTGTATGACGCTCAATAGGATTGAAGTGTGAGATCTATTGCTTCGTCGTTTTCAAGCCTTTACGGTGATCGTCATTTTGATGGTAGAATCAAGAACTCTAAGCACTATATTGCTTTTTTTTTTTTTTTTTTGCTGATTATGTTACAACTGAAAGCGTTCATAACGATGGTTTGGCGTTAGTGGGAGTCTACACAAAGAACGCCTTGATTGCAGATTTACATTAATTAACCGTAGAGGAAATAGTCTGTATCGATTAATTTTATTTTGATACAGATTAAATGATGAGAAGTGCTATGCAGATTATTGGAAAAACCCTTAATTCAAATTTTTAGAGTTTAAGATATTAATTTTTGTTCTAGAAAAAATGGTAGGCTTTATTATTAGCACATAGCCAATTCATAACATTATTTGTATAAATTAAAAGAGCGATATTCCTAACCTTATGATTTTTTATGACTGTTAGATTATAAATCTAAGATAATAAAATTTAATGAGAATTATTAATAATGTACGTTCTTTTGCAAGTTACTCAACATATGTCATTTTTAGTGTTCTAATGTTCTGGGCAAAAATGGTGGTGTATGTCCAGATGAAAAAGTTGGAGGTGTTCCAAATGGTTACCAAATACATACTTATGTTCGAAAAGACGGCATCACCGTCATCACTTACAGGAGGAATCTACTAAATACAGGTTTGTTTTATCATAATTTATAGAAATAAAGAAACAGAACGAGCTTTTTGAATTCTAAAATATTTCTAGTCTTAAAATATTTTTGTGGTCTGTTAACAAATAAACAATGAATACTTTGTTGTGTAAAGTTTTCTAAAAATTCTAAAGGTTAGGAAGAACTATCAAAAGAAGTAACATAAATTTTAAAATTTAGCGAATAAAATTTAATTTCTACAAAATAAAGAATTATTAAAGGATTGAAGTTCAAAATGATATCCTTGGTATAAAAGTATAGTTTCAGAGGTATTTTATGGCATGCCTCATTTACTTCATATTTTTTTTATGTATTTTTGACTTAAACCACCATATCTCATAATTTAATGCTCTCATCACGACAAATTTTCTCTTTCCATCCTGTAATTATTAGTAGGAAAATATTGTTTAAAGTAGTTTGCTTTCAGACATTTAATGTCTCTCGTATGATATTGATGTACCTTTTCTCGTTAAATGTTTGTATTTACTGCTGGAAAGGACCACAAATTCTTGAAGAAATATACTTTTGCCGGGGTAAGGGAACTTAATGATCAGTCTTTTAAAGACTCACGAAAATAAAATATCATATTTTATCAAAAAGTGTTTTAAAAACACCATCCCAATCATGATGATTGCCTTTCGTGTTATGTATAGAATTGCGAGTGTGAAAACTGTAAAGCTTAATTCTTGGGGGCTGCTAAAATAAGAGAAAGAGTAAACGTAAAAGGATATGCAAAATAGTATTAAAGCACTTTATTAAACTTATAATTTCAATGCAGATATCAGTGGCACGCCGCTTATAACTCGGGAAAAATATACTCTCGTGCCTGCTTTAGTTTGCATGCGTATATGTATATATAACATATGAAAAAGACTTTTTAGTATTATTGATGGCGTAGAAACATAGACCCATAATGTAAAGCAAACTTGGCAGCTGAGGAAGATAAAATATTCATCTTTATTTCAATAGATATTTTGCGGCCATAATTCATTTAAAACTCTAATCTTGAGTATTCAAGAACATTTACATTTTTTATATTATTGCGATAGGATGAAAAGCAGCACACCAGCGTCTTAACTTCATGAGAGCTATAAGCAAAAGTGCGCAGTTATCCAATACGGAAGCTCACCAAGAGAAAGGTTTCAGTTCTCTAAATTTTGAGTTCAAGTTCTGAATTAGTTATCAACCTTGTTAAGTCATATGTATGGACTGATCTAGAAGTGACGCAGTCGAGAGAAATTTTGATGCACTGCAGATGCTAGGACGGGGACATACAAAAATCTTAGTAAGAAATTTAAAGAGCTATTGATAAATAAGTTAAATTATTAGAGATTTATTTTCTTATTTTATAGGAATAGAATTTTACTCATTTTCGTTCCAACCTTTACTTTTCGATTTGTGATTTTAATTTAACGCCCAGCGTCGTGTGTAACCTATAGAAACAGTTCTAGGATACTGGATCCATCGAGAGAAATACTGGTCAAGGCCGTCCAAGAGCTATTACGGCCAGAGAAGATCGTTATTTGTCCATTTTAGCGAGGCGTAACAGAGGGGCTAAAGCTTCTCACTTCTCTCGGAAAATGTATGCAGCCATGGAAACCCGTGTAAGAAGGGTGACTGTTTCCAAAAGACTGAATGAGAGAGGGCTGTTTGCCAGAAGACTTGCTGTTTGCATCTCACTCACGTCTACGGACAAGAGAGTCCGATTAGCATGGTGCAGGCAGCATAGTGATTGGAGTAAGGAGCAACGGGCGACTGTTCTGTTCACCGACGAGTCTCGTTTTTGCCTAAACACCGATTCTTGCCGTACTTTCATATGGAGAGAGCCAAGGACCCGCTACTTACCATCCAATGTCCACGAAATCAACAATTATGGCGGTGGCGGTGTAATGGTCTAGGCAGACATCATGTTGGATGGCCGCACAGCTCTCCACGTCTTTGTCAGAGTCTCTGTGACTGATGTGAGGTAAAGGGATGAGGTCTTGGAGCCTTATCTTCGCCTTTCCAGTGCGCAGTGGGCCCCGAGTTCATCTTACAGGACGATAACGCGAGGCCACATAGAGCTTTTCTGGTCGACGAATTTCTCGAGAGTGAGGATATTCACCGAATGGATTGGCCAGCCAGGTCTCCAAACCTCAAACCTATACAACTCTGGGACGCTCTGGGGAGGGCAATTGCAACTCGCAACCCCCCTCCGAGAACCATCTAGGAACTGAAAACAGCGTTACTGAATGTGTGAGACCAATTGCCACAGGCACTGATAAACTGCTTTATTTCCAGTATGACATCACGCTACGAGGAGTGTTTGTCTGTAAGAGGGGACCATAAACTCTATCAACCCATTTCGTTTGTGTCTTCTGTAACCGCTGTTTCAGACCTTCAGACTTCCATAAGTGTTACACACGAACATATGTGTCTATAATTACTACTGAATGCTTATTTTGTTTGAATTATTTTAACGTATGTTCACACCAAATTTAATTAAAATCTGACCAGTAGTTCTCGAGATCGTAAATCAAATATATGAAAATTCTCTTAATTTATTTCACTAGTATATTTCATATGAAGCTGATGAGCCGAGCTAACGGTATTTCCTATGGAAGAATGTAGTATAGTAAACATCGTCTATGATTTTGATCGTCTTATTGAAGTTTCTTTTATATTTTGGTTTGTATCGGGGTTTTCTCAAGTGAAGGAACATGTCGGATATTCTGTACTTGACAAGCCGCATTCGATTAATAACCAAAGTTTCAATTTTAATTACTGTTGCCAACTATAAAGCGAATAACCCATTGATCTTCTTGATCTGCAGCTAACTAAGTTTCTAAGTCCGCTAAACATTGAGTAATTCTGCATGTTGGTGGTAATGGCTGGTTGCGTAGGGCGGATGTAGATTACGCATTATTAGTACTTACCTATTTCTCTAGGACGTTTCTACGAAAACATCCTTTCCCATAAATTGATAGCCCTTGCCGTAATTAATCCAATCCCCTTTTGCTGCTCAATGTCTAAATTTAAATTAAAAAAATTCTTGTTTTACTCATCAATAGTGAAATCAAAACAGCATGGATCACTGCGCATAGTCGCATGTGTAGAGATGTGCGAGTAATTCAAAGTTAAGATTAAAGTTGCGTACGTAAAGGGTTATGAGGTACCAGACTTTAAAGTGCAGTAAAAAATGGGCCAGTGCAGTTTCTGTAGCATAGAAAGCACTTCGTAATAGACGATAACAAATTAAAAATCACTAGTGAAAGTTCGTCGATTGAGACGGAACCTTAAAACTAGATGAACTTGAATTGTTAATGTCTATAGTGCCTGGCATGCGAGACGCAACCTGAGAGTGCCATTCAGCGATGTGCGATATATAATTGAGAAACATCTCTTTACAAACTGAATAGAATGTGAAGCTTCGTCCGACACGATATTGATATCTTGAGTCTTATTCTACTTTTAGAGAATGCATCTGTTCAATCTAAAACCGTCCACTAAATTGCATAAAGGAGGACAACATGCATAGCAAACAGCTACCGCTGTGCCTTTTGCCGTTGAGTTTGCACGCTTGGCTTGGCATCAAAACTAGTAACTGGGAATAGGGTATTATTCTTTGACGATTCCGCTTCTGTCCATGGCATAAGAACGGCCGTGGGTCATTGTGAAAGCATCATGAGAACGCGCTAGCCATTTTGGCTGAGTGTCACTTCTTTACTTCTAAATTTATTGATCACATCTAGCAGCATGGTTTCGTGTCGCATTATGCTCAATTACTGGATACTCTTGTATGCATTTGTCTTTTGTTGTCATATGACGGCAGAAAACTACGATTATATTACGTTGTGTTAAACTACGAGTACGATTATATTACCCATAATCTCTCATCATGCAGAGAACATCCTAGTACTTCAGAAAAATAACAGTTGACAATATTTTTTTTAAACATCGCTATAAAAGATATTGCTAGACACTGCAAACTGTCATCAGTCTGGACGAGACTTATACCCTAACCCTAGTCATTAGCCTGTCTCGAACGCTTTTCCAACGAAAACTTGTAGAACCACGTTAGACATGACCTAAATTAGGGGCAGCAGCCAATTACATTGAAAATCCTTCATTTCACTGTGGATGCGAGTTTTCAACAAATACCTCCAGTGACCATTTCTTGATTCACGAAATGTCCCGCCATAGGTAGAAGCTTCCATTACTGCCATTGGGAGCGAAACTAGTTATTGAATAATCAAGTTGTATGCATGTACATTCTGACATTATTTTGATGATTTGAATATCTCTTGCACTTTTACCCATCTGATGATTTTCATATGGTTACGCATAGACTTCATGATTGTTGTGATTTCACTTTTATTGAGGGTAATAATCAATTTGCGTTCTGGTAAGATTTTAATGAGGTAACATTAACTGTCTATATGTAGAATGACCAATAATGAAGAAAAAAGGGCATTAGTTTACCATGAACAAGCACTACTTTACGCTTATACTTTAATTTTGTGATTGTATTTCAGTTTCGCAGAAGCGCTTAGATATGGACTTCTCATATTTCAACATTGTACATTAATCTTGGAATGCGATGAAACGACAATACTGAAGGTTTATGATTTAGCATTGCAGCGAATTTGAGTAACGTAATGGGAAATAGAAAGGTATGCTTGTTAAGTTTTCCGGTGAGTGGGTGAATGAGCCGCTAAGATGGCTTCCGACCACGGAAGTGATCCAACCGAGATTGTATACAATCCAAGCGGGGAAAATCTATCTGTCGAAAAGAGAAGTTATTCAGTGCAGCCAAATGTTGTTGTTTGGTCCATGTAATTCATGGAAGAATGGTTGCCAGAGCCTCAAAGAGATTGGACTTCTACTTCCACCTCAGTTTTGAGGAAAGGCACCTGGGCGGGGTTGGGGGGTGGTATCCTATGGTCTCCACCTCTCTCCTCTATCATCAAACCACATAACAGGCCTTTCGGATCGCCATATACAGGTATTTAGATTGCCCCCATACCGCAAAGACAGTGTACGTTTACAAACATTTATGCTTTCTCCGGGATTCGAACCTGGACCATTTGGTATCGCAGTAGCCTCCCCTAATCGCTATAACGTTTGGGCGGCCAGTGAAGCTAAATCACTTGGCAAAAAGAAAACTGAGCACTGTTAACCAACAGAACTATAACACAGGCTTACTTACACGAAATTACAGTGCATCAGACCATTGTCATAGTACACTGTTAACTCTGTGGATAATAATCGTATTGTTGCGTTTTTCTCTTCCTGACCCCAGTTATTACGTTATTTCCTTCCTTCACGTTCGTACGGGTTTCGTGTGGATTTGGGTTGAATAACGACGACACTCGATGAAGTATCGAAACACACTTTATTTAGCCGGTATTATCAGGACAGCTCCAAAACACGTGTTTACAGTCGTCGAAGATCTACTATAAACTCGCTGGAACAATCAGCTACACAGCCTTCACACTGTCAGGTTATCACGGTAGAGACAGCTTCACTGCAAAGCACCAGAGTACAGCTCCCGACTCTGCTCGGTCGTTCTTGGAACTCCACGTACTCTCGAGACTCTTCACGCTACAACTCGCGATGCACTCGACGACACACGAGCACAGCTCCCGACTCTTCGGTTCGTTCCCGGAGCTCAACACCTGATACGTCTCTCGCAGGCAATTTGTGTGGCTCATGCATATAAAATATATGTATGAAATATGCTAAACTAAAACTCAGTGTCCAAAAGGAAGTAATTAATTAGTTTAGACTCCTTTTATAAGTTATCAGCGATTTATTTCTATTTACAACCTCCTCCACTACATGATGTAAATATGAACTTGTGGCTTTTTAGAAAATCTAGATGCGGCTCTCGAACATTCCTGAATTCAAACGTGCAGCTCTTACTGACATAAAGTTTGGCCAACCCTGGTATAGAAATTATTACTGAGTTTTTATAAGTAACCTCTTTCTATCCACCTAATTATATAGTTAGTTTTATAAATAGGCGGAATAAGATTATATCTTTCAGTATATCTTATTTCTTCCTATAAACATTTTCTGCATGAATTTCAAAGATGGTCAAATAGTTCATGACTGAAGATTATGATAATTTCTTTTTATAGAGGACAGTGGTGATAAAGTATTTAATCAGGAAGGAGACACGTACCTGATATGGGCAGTTGGAAAGTACAATTCTTTCAAAGAGCCAACTTATCACAGACTGGTCCTTAGAGGTGAGTTTTTCATAATAAATTCTTTAAATGCCATTTTACCTACTTTTAGCTATTTTGCCATCAGTAGATCTTGTTATATACCGTTAATTCTACAAAGTGCTGAATATATATAAATTTTTTAATCTGATTTTTAAAACTTTTAACTGCCAGAGAAAACATTAGAGCTATTACAGTACTTTTTTATTTAGTACCTTTTCTTCTTAACAGTCTATTCTTAAAACTAAATTCTGACTCACCTTCATGGATTTTAAGGTTACTAATTGTTTAGGAATTTCCAAAGAGAATGTGAATAATTTTTTTGTAGCTTAAATTATTTTAAACTTAACAACTCCTTTTTATTTGGGGTACATACAGGGTGCACTGAGCACCATTTAATCAAAATTTTTACGCTGTGAATTGAACCCACATAACGCACCTTTCTGCACTTCCCTAAGGCTTGCTCGGTATTCTTTTTAAATTCGATGTTCGGAACACAAAATCTCTGTTTTAGTAACTGATAGAAGCTGGCAGCCATGAAAGTTCCTTATTTCATTGGATAGCAAACTCTCTGGTCATCTCACAAAATCTGGATTTCTTTTTTCAAACTGAAGTAGAAGCATGCAAGTAGTGCTGATTGATCGAGTCTTCTATTTTATAGGACAGTAACATAAACAGTAACCGTATCTACAATGGTGAAATAAATACAGATAAAATGGTAATTATTTTTTATAGTGTCATTACTTTAAAGAAAAATATTGAATATTAGAATGTTTTTCATATTAGAGTTTTCGGAAAATGTTTTTCTCTAATACTGAACATTAGAGAAAAACATTTTACGAAGACATTGATGTTTACTTCGTGATGAACGTGAAAACAAATGAAACTTTTTTAGACTATCAGAGGCAGAATGGGTAATACCTTGAACAATGGTAGTTCGCCTCAAGTTATCAGTAAAGGAACGTTTATTGTAACACAGCTGTACAAAGATAGTCTAATAAAGGGAAATGATATTTTTGTGAAGCCATTGGAAATGTATGTTCATATGCTGGCATGCGATGAAGAAAGGACAAAGTTGGGAAATTGGCTTCTGTTGAAGACGCTAGAATCCCAAACTACTAAAACTGACTTGATAACCTGATAACCAACATTTTTAAACGCATAACGTATTTCCTCGGGCATTTCTACAATAATAAGCTATTTTGCTTTTACAGGAGATCTAAAACTGAACTTGGGTCGGAAACCAGGCGTTAAAAATTGTGAACCTTTCACACGCTCTCGAACGAAAGCGACAGAGAAATCTTGGGGCCCTCTCAGGATTCGAGATCCTCAGGTGACTACCTTCACTGTTAGAGTTGGAGTTCCCGGTGGAATGAAGGGATACTCTGGTATCACAGGTAAGGACTTGATCACATGCTGTACCCATTAAAAAAAATCTGATGTGGGTGCCATGCGACTTCTTTCTACGGTCTGTTAAATTGTACAATTAATGTAATTAAAATTATTAACTAATTATTCTAACTTAATTAAACGATCCTCAGGACAAGTTGAAAATGACATCAAAAATTGCAAATTTCGAAATATCCTGGTCAAAATTTATCATACGGGAATCAAACTTATGCATTTTTATCTTTTAATAACAAGAAACCGCATTGGAAATTAATTTCGTTATTTGTCGAAAATAATTTTTTAAATTTAACATTGCCGAAACATGAATATTTTTGGCATTTTAAATACTTCTGTAATTGGAAGTATATGTCTACGCCAATGTTTGCAAAAATAAAGGCTGGGAAAGGACTTCTAAGCCGGGTAAGGGGCGCGGATATTTATATGCATGTTTGGTATTGCCGATTGCAATAAAAAAGAGAGGTGTACAACTAGATGTTATCGCAGTCCCACATACAAAATTTCAACGTCCTAAAGCTAATCGTTGAGTTATGCGAGATACGTCTGTCACGAAAAATTTCCCTTTGAATCCACTTTAAATCCGTTTTACAGTCCATTAAAAAAAAAAAAAAAAAAAAAAAAAAAAAAAGAAGTCCTCTATTCTATGCATACATCGAGATACCATGTAATAAAAATCATCCAAATGGATTCGGAAAGGTCAAAATGGATATTTGCTTTTGAAATGAGCCATTATGTTTTGGTATTATTGATATTGACAGATTCTAAAATAATCGGTAATTTCAATTGGTATCTTGTGGTTTTTAAATACATACATCGTTATCGTTACCACACTGTAGCATGGGTATTTACTCCTGTGACTCAATAAAGAAAATAGTGAATTTTACAGAATAACGTTCGTCATAACATCATTATATTACATCTTGCGAGAGATTTAGAAATTCAGAAAGGTCTCAGGATCGATGATTTGTATAAATAATTTATGGACTTGTATGCTAGCAACGGCATGAAATTTCATAATCTCAAGATATGTAGGAAATAAATACTCGAGATTTCTTCTCTCGCTATGGTTTCGCGGTTCACTTTTCGAAAGACCTAAGGCTATTTTCTTTAATTCAGTTTCTAGTACTGTAATACCCGAGGACGTTTCGCGGTTCCGCATCTTATTTTACACACAATGTTTGCAATTAATTTATATCTGACGTTTTCGTTATTTAGAGAATATGTTGATAAATCATGACTCTGCTATACACCGCGTCGACAAATTCCTTACCGGCCTATATTTTCGCAAACATTTGTCGTAGACATATATATTTCCACTTACAAAAATGTTTTAAATGGCGCAAAGATTAGTCAGCAAAATATGATCAACATATCAACAGATAAAAATGTTAAAAAAATTTAATACAGAAATTTTAATTATTAAATAAAGATTATATAATACAGTAAGAAATAAAGCACTTAATATTTTTCGCCAAATCTTTCTCTAATTTTTTAGTGCTAGTCTTCGCTCCATGTTCACAGCGATCTGTTTCTGCTTAAGAAAAATCAGAGAAATGCTAAATCTCTGCAATGCGCATCGGTTGTGTCCTTTTGGGATTTTGCCCTAAACTATTGAATTTCTGCAGAATTTTTACCGCAGTTTTTCCATTTCTGGGAAATTTCACAAGCGATATTTTAAAATTAAGTTGAAAGCAAAAAGCATCACACTTTGTCTGGCAAAACATTTGGAACATGGAACGCATGCGAAAATGGTGGTGTTACTTGACTGAAGTACTGTCATGACATGGTTACCTGAAGAATGTTTTTACGCATGGTTGCCCGAATTTGACAATTTTGTAAATTTGGCCACATCTACTAAGGCGGTTACGTTAATATGCGAGTATCGTATTGACTTATTTGATTATGTAACTAAGTTATGAAAATCGAGACTATTGAATAAAATCAAAATAGTACATGCAGTGAAGGAAGCACCTCGGAAGTCCTTGAACAACTTATTTTAAGAGCACCCTGGGAGAAGTAGTGCTGTAAATTTTTGTGGTGTTATTACACGTGTAAAAAAAGTATTTTCCAGACAACTTGTTTAATATGTGACTAGGGAGTTAAAACGAGGCAGTCTGAAAGTAAATGTTTGGTGTGGGATGTTGCAAGACAAGATTTTAGGACATTTTTCTTTTTATGAACAAACAATAACATTCAGAGTTTACTTAGATAGCTTACAATAACCGGAGATTACTTTGGTATTTCGAAGAGTAAAAGCCGGAGTTATCTTCTCTGAACAAACAATAGAAGAACTTTACTTCTTCATTACATTTGCTCGTGGTTGGAGGACATCAACCCAAAGACATTTTGTCGCATATCATTTTTATGTAACTTGTGTCCACTTGTCATATAGACTTTGAAGCTTTTTTTTTTAAATGTGACGAATACCAAAGGTATAAGTTGATCCATTCGCAAACAACAAGCTGTTAAAGTTGCTCAGCATTTTGTAGCCACTCTGTATTTTAGAATGTACTAGTAACAGATAATTTTCTCGAAAGGCAATTTTACCAGTATTAAAAATACTGGTAAAATTGCCTGCTACTTATTCCTTTCGCGCTATTAAGTTAAAAACTTAATAGCGCGAAAGGAATAAGTAGCATATATTGGTATCATATTAATGACTATCTAATGTATATTACATTTGAAAGGTTTCTCAAACATTTAGTTTTCATATTTAATAAAGTTTGAGAAATTACTATAAGTAATTGAGATGAAACTAATTTATTTTTATGATGAATTGAAGCATAGTTTCTTAAATTTACCGGTAACTTATTATGCGTACAAAATTATTACATAATTTTTTGCCTAATTTTTCAGACACAAGTTATAAGATAAAAATTGAAAGGAACTTTCTAAAATCCAATTTATTTCCCATTTTTACTTCCTTGTACGAAGTAAAAAGGAAGTATTGTCTCGCGAAAAGTTTCAGGCACATATTTCTACGAAAATATCCATTTTGACCGCGATCGATGCAATTTAACGTGTTTTCGGTGATATCTGTAACCAAGGATAGAGTAAAATACTCTTTTCCTCAAAAAAATTATAAAGCTGCTTTTCAACTTTAAAATTAATTCTGAGAGAATTTTTCATGGCGTCTGTACGAACGTATGTACGTAAGCCTCGCATAACTCAAAAAAGAGTACCTCAGAACTTTGAAATTTTGTATATAGGACTGCTATAACATGATGGCACCCGTATTTTGATTGCAAATCGGTCCAACCAACGTATAAAATACACTCATGTCCAAAATTAAGGTATTCGAATCCGCGGAAATCGAACTCTAAAATAATTATCACCTGAAAAAGCATACACACATCTTCAGAATGATATGCAAATTTCAGAAATAACCCAGATGACCCGATGGTACTCACAATGACGAGATTGTAAGGATGATATATAAGGAATACAGGCAAAGAAGTAAAATTGTTTCGCAGGCCTTTATGATCATTAAGTGCATAACCGAATAGTTTGACACAAAGACGCATTTGGATGATTTTTTACGCGGTAGAATTCGCCTTCTGGAATGTGGGCGTACCCAACTGGAAGTATCACAGGAACTGGGAATTGCTCAGAATGTCATCTCGAAGCTTTGGGCACGATTCCAAGATGATGGTAGTGGTATACGTGACACAGCACCTGGTCGCCCCAGAATTACAACGCCCGATGAGAACGGTATTTGGCAGTTACTGCCGAAAGAAACAGGCTGAGACAACCTCAGACCTGTCTCGCAGCTCTCTTCAGCCCTGGTACGACATTTAAAGGGCAGCGTGTACAACGTTTGGCATTGGTCATATATGCTTGTAGACCTGTCAGATCATTCCACACTGCAACTCACTGTCGTCCTGCGGTTAGCCTGGAATCGAGAGATGCATGTGGAAACCGCAACAGTGGGCTTTGATGTTTCCGACGAGCAAAGGTTTAGCTTGCATTCTGATTCTCGCCGGACTTTCATATGGAGAGCTTCACGTACCCGTTACCACAAGAAACATCATGAACGACACCGTTACGGTGGTGCAGGAGTGCTCGTTTAGGTGGAATTATTCTGGGTCCAGAATGACCTTGCATGTTCAAATTGGAGCCATGACAAGAAAATCTATTGGACGTCATTCTGGAACAACATGTCGTCTGTTTCGGGGCGCTTGGGCAAATTTGTCTTTAGGATGACAACGCCCGTCCTCACCGTGCAAACATCGTAAGCGAATGCTTTCAATCGGAGGATAACACACGTATGGACTGGCGGCATTCTCACTGAGTTGAATCCAGTACAGCACGTATGGACATGCTCGGCCGCGAGTTGCAGCCGTCAACCTCCTCCTACATGTCTACGGAACTCGGAGAGCATTGCCTTTGATGGTGAATATCCTCCAAGATCAATCGATAATTTTGATACTCAGCATGCCTAGCGTTGTACGGACTGTATTTCATCGTCTGGGAGACATCAATGTTTAACAATCATACCAACCATGTAATATTGGTTTGTTGTAAGTAGGTGTTTTTGTAATTTGCTCCAGGAGAAAATCGCTAAATTTTTAATAATATCAAAATATAGCATCTTTTTTTTGCTCTTTACCTTTTGTTTAATAAAAAGCTATAAATAGTCCAAATTTGTTTTTCTTATAACTCTTCTTGCCTGATTTGCATTATCCTTAATTTGTGGACAGAGTGAAATAATTTTTTCTTGCTTCCATCATAGTTTTATTTGGCAATATGCGTTGATTATTATAGTAACCGTTTTTCCTGTTATCTCTTAATTCGAATTATGTGTGTATATTTATATATATATCCAGTCTGTTCCCGGCTCAGTGATCTCAGTTTCTTACTCTTATATGTTTAAATTTACATTTTTTAAAAAATTGAATTATGGTTTTTTATTTTCCGGTTAAGGATTTATGCCTTTGGTAACTCTGTTGTGCAATATTTTTAGAATTGTCAGTAATTTTAAAAGTGTTTAATTGCGCTTTTTAAAATGGCGGCATGTATTTTACAATTTGAAAACAGGAGACTAGTGAATTTGTTGCCAATCTAGAGAAACTTAGCTTCGCAACAACAAAGATAACGCATTTCATTTATTATTGCCATAAATCATGCTTAATTCTTTCTGGAATTTTTTCGAGGAAATAAGTGTTTGAAATTTACTTCGTAATTTTTAATATAGATATTTTGAGTTTTATGTATTTTTTGCCTTCTCGCGAAGTGAGAACTGAATTAATTAAATGAAAATATTCAATCGTCTGTGAAAAATGTTTGTTTTTTGTTTGTTTGCTTAATTTCTTTTATACATCATTCTAGCTTTATTATAGTATTTGAATAGAACAGTGGCAACGATTAGATATTCTATTCTTTAAATGATATAAATTTTGTGCATTATGATTTTAATATGAACGAAATATATCGTTAACTGTTATATAATTATTGGGTTATATAACAGTTACTTAGTTTTCCGTTATATAATTATTATATAAGTAAACTGTTATATAATTATTAATACTGTCTAGTGAATCTAGCGCCAGAGTGTCGCTATGGTAAACAAATACTAGAGTGAATTTTAAAGAATGCATTTATTCTATTGTGGATTATGCGCTGTCGGCGAAGTAGATTTAATTCAATCCAATAAGTTTAAATGAAATGCAAGAAAAGATGCGTATAATTTAATATTCTAATTTAATATTCCAATAGAAGGAAGTCATGTGTTGTACACATCAGATTTTTTCTCTTTAATTATAGCCTTAAGAGCAAATTTATGTCTCACATAGTTATGAAGTATTAAAATTTTTGTTCTCCTAAATATTTTCAGGTCGATCATCTCCTGGAGTTGCATGGTACGTAAACGGTCTTCTCAGCCCTGAACTATATTTAAGGAGAAATCGAAGGTACACTTTTATTGTAGAAGGAGGAAGCGATCCTTACAACGCTCGTTTCTATCATCCATTCTATATAACTGATGATCCACACGGTGGTTATGCTAAATACTCAGAAGAAGAAAGACAGGTAAACTACAGAAATATAAATCTAAACATCTTATAAAGTGCTATTTCTATAGTTTTTTGTAAATTATTTTCTGAAATGTTGTGCTTTCAAATAAATGAGATTCATCCGTATACAAAATAGTCAATATAAAAATGGGGGGGGGGAAGAAAAAAAGAAAAATCCTATCGTTTCCCCATTTTTTGTATTCCTATTTTCCTGAGAAGCTTATAATTTATGTATAAGAACCATCATAGAAGCATCTTTCAATAGGGATTTCGGAGTCTACAAACCGAAATGAAATATTTTATTGGATGGAAGAATGTGAACTCGTCATTCATGCATACATAATTATTAAAGAGCATTTTAATTATGCGTGAGTCAGAAACTAGCTTAAATATGAAGTCTTTCAGAAAGAAGTGTTATCCTTTAAAATACTACAATACACCGTATTTTCTCACTTATTTTCCCCTTTAGTGTTTAGAACCAGGTTCTGAAAACTTCAAAAATATTCCTGTAAATTTCCCCTTCCTCAACGCGTTCAGAGAACGTGCTCCTCTAAATTTAAAAATTGATTTATCCATGTAATGATTCTTTTTGTCTTACTAACAGAGACAAACCATCGTATCTACCCGCGAAGGTCACGCCGAATCTTTCTCTTCTATCTGCTCAACTTAATGCTAGCCTAATACGAAAACCGACCAATCCCACGGACGAAAACTCGAATTGACATTCAGTAAACGATTTCGCTAAGTCAGCTGCACATTCAACTTTTTTAATTATTTTTAGATGATTTGAGACCTAAGGGGTAGCAGAGACAGCAAACAGAATGGGCGAGTTTCAAATTACAGTGAAGTAGAAAAGATATCTTATTAAATATGCAGTCGCATTAATATTATTGTGCATTCTTATTGAAAATTTGGTTTCCTTCAAAGAAATAATATTGGGGTAGTTACCACTAGTTTATACATGGCTACTTTTTGTTTGCTACTTTCTTACTGTAACCTCATCCTTCAGAAATTAAATACATAATTTTACTTCTCGATTTTCGGACGATAAAATTAATAAAAAATAGGGAAACTAAAACTACTTGTAGAGACATTACTGCAGCTGGAATCATGTGAACAGAAATGATGTGAATTTATAAATGGAATGCATATAGTAGGAATTGTTAACTGTACTTCAGGAAACTTTCATTCACCATGCATGTCAATTTTCTCGTTTAAAAGCATTTGTTTAAAAAGATGTAAGCTTCTGTCATCTGATACTTTATTCTGAAACTTACTGGAGTGAATAAAAAATTTCACGGTATCATTTTTCCTTAGCTCTTTCCACGTTTGAATCAATTTAGAGGAGGAAATATGTTGAATAATGTAGGATCATAATGTAAAAACTCTATCCACTGAAATGTTTCAGGTGAAAAGCATAGCTTCGGCTGAAATGCGTAGAATAATTTGAATGTAAAGAAAGACAGTCATTTGTAAAGTCATTTATAATCACGTCTTTGAAAGCAGTTCTGCTGTTAAACTGTTTCACTTCTTTCTGAATGCTCCTAAACAGAACCGTTTCAGCTGGCCAATTTTGCGGTTTACTGCACTTATAAACAAAGAACAAGGACGTGCAGTCAAGCGTTTATTTCTTATCACAAAAGTGGTGTTTTCAGAGCATTCTCAGATATGATAAGATTATTGTAAAAATAGGACGAAATATGCAAGTTACAGCAAATGTTTAGCGTCTTAACAATGTGCGCTTGACATACTGAGCCCTTCGTTACAGTAATTTGAATTATTTCTTTAAATAACACTATTTTTCTTGCAGTAAAAATGTTTAATAAGTTTAATGCTTGTCAGGTGAACAAACTTAAGCTCGAATTAAAATTCTAAATTGTTTTCGTATGCGAATTATCTCTAATTATATTGAAGTGTTAATTACAATTTACTTAAATTTAAGTGTAGAATATTGGAATCTGACGATGCAAAATTTTTCAGAAGTCTGATTCTGAAAGTTTTCGTTAGTCTGAAGTATTAAACGAGATCCGATTTCTTTTGGAAAAAAAATGCCGTCTGACATCTTTATATAAAGTAAAAGAAAGCGTCTGTGTGTGTGTCTTTCGTTTGTGCTGTGCATAAGCCAATAGAACCAGGGCTATGAAATTTGGTACATAGGTGCATCTAGACAAGAGCAGTGCACCTTAAAGCGATTTTTTCAAAATTCGAATGAGGTTTTTTAATTTTATAGTTTTCGATGAAATCGCATTATTTTGAATAGATTCGTTCTTTTATAAATGTGGTTTTGGCAACAGTTTTTTATTTAATGCTTTGTATACTGTACTATTGACTGTTGAAAATGTGAGATAAAATGCCGCTTATTTTCTTTTGATTTTTGGACGCGCACATTGCAATCTTCTTACTCTGACGCGCATGTGTCACGCGAGGCACAACAGAAAGAATTTCCTTTTTTTTTCTCTCTCTCTCTCTCTTTATTAGCTAATGGCAAAGAGGTTTGTATATTTTGAATTATGTCATCCACAAAGCACAATTTTGATTGGTTTTTGTTTTCTGATGATAGTTTCATTCTTTTAGAAATTATGTTTTGGCAACAGTTTTTCATTCATTGCTTTGGATACTGGACTGCTGACTGCTTTCTCTTGAAAATATGAGATTTATTACTTATTTGATTGTAATTTTTTAAATTATGTTTTAATTATACATAATTTTAATTACATAAAAAGTTTTGCATGATTTATGAGGAAACAAAGTTCTGAACTTCCTATATACCATTTCAATTCTTACGATTTTACAACAGGAAGTTGGTTACTTTATTTATTAGGATAATTAATATTTGTATTAAGGGATATTGCTTATTTCATTGTAATTTTTTTAATATGTGATACATTTTTATTGAATTTTTAATGAAGTTGTTCTGCATAGTAAAATTCTCTGCAGGTTTGAAATTTAATGTTTGGTGTTTAATGTTTGGTGTTTTTTTGCATTTTTACGGCACATTTAAAAGCCAGACGAAGGCTGTCTGCGTAGCGGCTTGTAATATAATTAACCAATATAATTAAATCCTTGCACTTGAGGCCTTTTTCGTTCGGGAGAAACAGCTACTAGTGAAAATGTTTCGCATTTGTTGAATTTCTTATGTCTAACTTAATTTCACACACAATTTAAAGAAATCTAATGGTTCTTTTACGTCTGGCGGCTCTGTCGCCGGACCCAAATGGTATTATTTGCTATATTACTTCAGATTACGTGCACGTTATCATTACTGAATTTCTGTATCTTCTGCGTAATCAGTGTCGCTTTCACGTTCACTATTTATTGCCCTTGAGTTTCCTTATTCTTACACCTCTTCATCGTTTTCTGCATCACAGCTTTCCTTCTTTCTATGGTCAAGCAGTTAATGCATCTATGCATCGTTCTTTGCAATGAAAGACTACGCAAGGAAAAATCGAAGTCATCTTCACTTAAACTAATTTATTCATCGTATTCCATGAGTATTGGTCTCGGTAACTTTTGAAGATAATATTCCTATTGCCACGACTATCGAGTTAGAACTAACGTCGAACAGGCATATATAACAATAGATCTAAAAAGATCTTTAATATTAAAGACTGGCAGTTATTTTATATGCATGTACTGTTGATTACATTTAGGAAACTCATGTATTGTTGAATACACTCATTGCCCAAATCAAACGTAAATAAATCAGCTCTTTACAGCTCGAATTATTGTCAACAGCGTATCAACTTTAGAGTGTCAAATCGAGAGTCGTTTCTCGAGTACCGCATCAAATCAAGTGGTGATCGAGAGTCTTCTCTTTCCAATGCAAATAGTTAAATCATATTTCTGTATTCAACAAAACATTCTTATAGTTTTAGTTTAAATTCTGATATCTTTTCATTTACTTTATGCAGTGCATTAATACATATGATGAATTCGATACATAGTAATGAATTAACTTTTGGTTTTTAAAGAAAGAAAGGAATACTTGTTTGTGAAAAGCTTTGGAGATGTGCTTGATGTTAGGAATGCAATTTTTTATAGAACTTTCATAAAGATTTAAGTTAGGTACATCGAAACAGACGATAGAATGAAAAGAATTTCTGAAGTTAAAAAAATTTCATTAGATATACTTTATTTGTCTATACGTAGCCATAGGAATAGCATTTGGATTCTCCGAATCGGGAAAAGAAAATTTCAGATTCAAAATTACTTTTTATAATTAGTTAACATTTATTTAAAATTTTTAAAACCAGAAATAAAAATGATTTTAATACCAGGCTCAGAGAACATCCAGTAAACGCAATGTAAATTGGACTTTAATGGAGAAGTCATTTAGCCAATTTTTTTATTTAAAATAATATTTCTGAAAATACGGCTAAGTACTGTTAAGCAAAACTCGCAATCAAAATTGGAACAGGGCTTATAAGAGGGGCCCATGTGGGATTCACCATACATAGTTCATCCTCACTACTAAATTTTTCGCTTTTTTTTTTTTTTTTTTTGATGCTGAGAAAATGAGAGAATTTTGGGAAAATTCTAGAGTTTGGATCTTAAATATCTGACTGTTAGGTAAACTGCCCAGCGAATAGGTTGATAGACATAAATGGAAGGAAAAAATTTGCTTTGCCTTATTTGTTCTGAACATTTTGTCGTTGATATTTTTCGTGTGTCTTTATGCATTATTTTAGAAATACATAAATTATGAGAATTTATTATCTGAATTTACATCTTGCAAGTGAATATTCACTCAATGCTTTAAATTTATTTCAGGGTAAGAAAATCTACGCTGGCGTGGAATTCGATCGTAGAGGTCGACCACACCCATCGGCGGGTATGTATCAAGCTTTAGGTTTATTTAAGTTTTAAAGTTAATTTACACTGATAAAATTTCAAAACTATTCATTAAATATATGATGAATTTAAAAGTAGAGTTCATTCAAGAAATTAACGTAAGAATTTAAATTAGTTATTTCTTAAAGAGCTGTTTCGTCAATTATTGCATAGTTTATATCTGGATATATATATTTTTTAATTCTTGTGCGGAAAGGTTTTGAATTCTTCTTGCAACTTCAAATGCAGGATTCATTCTGCAGCTATGAATACATTCCTCAGTTTTGTCTTTCTCCGCTCCCTCCCTAAGAGAGAGAGCTCGCATTTCCAGTTGCACTAGATTTTGAATATATGAAAAGGAAAATGCGCATATCAAGCTTTATTTGATTTTGGAAGGCTGTTAAACGTTGCCATCTAGTGATGCATGCTAATGATGAAAATGTTAAAACCTGTTCGGTGAAAAAATCTTGATAAAAAAATGCATAACATCGTCAAATATTCATGAATGCACGGTTGGAATCTATGTTAATACAACACCTTTCTACGTCATTATCAAGATGTAGGCTGTCATGTTTATACACGTTCTAGCGTGAATCGAAAATGATCTAAAACCAGACTCCATCCTAGATGGGAAACAACAGAACACATGCTCATTAAAATTGAGGAGTATATAATGGAAAATAATACGAGTGTATATTTACGTGTTTGCTACGAGAATTATTACTGGATCTGTGAAAAAAGCCCGCAGGTAAAGTTGAGGATATAGGAGATCTAGGCTAAATTGGTACTTTAGGAGCATTATCTCAAATGTACTTAACTGCTGTTCATAAGAAACAACCAGTAAAACTTTTTATTCATGACTAGGACGTGAAATATAGTTTGGCCAGTGTGACTCAGAAAGGGAAAAAAGCATGTTGTAAAACCAGCGGATCATCTCGACTTCAAGTTCTAAATTCAAAAAATTATGGGAGTGAATTTAGACACCATTTTTTTTTCGGATGAAGAGAGACTGCTGCTTAAGTGATTATGCCATATAATACCACGATAGTAAGTGTTTATTGTGACATCCTGTTGAATGAAATCTGACGAATCATAAAAATAAAATGCTGTGACAAACTCGAAAGAAGAATATTGCTTTTTTTTATTACAGTGCACAAGATACAAGACTCGGATTGCTGTTCAGCAATGCTCATCTCTGTGTTCTCAGATCCGTTTGCATGAGGCTTCTTTTTTTTGTTTCGAGAACAGAAGCTAAGTTTTCACGGTGCATGTTATAGCGATGAGAAGGATTTGAAGATGGCATATAAGAATGGTGTAAATCTCCCCTTAATTGGTAAGGAGAGTCTCGAAAAAAACCGGTGTTAGGTACCGATGGTGTCGAAGGACTTAAGATTCGTAACATGACCGGCGAGCATGTTGCGTGCGAGGGTGGAGGCAGGAAAAATGTATTTCAGCGCAGTGTACATAAAATTTGTATAATAGTTAGTGTGTGTGTGTGTTTTTTTTTGTTGTTTTTGTTGCTAATAAACACGAATATGTGTACATATGTATGTGTGTAACCAAATTGTGTGGTGAAGTTTCTTGATGTGGTCGATCTCCATAGGAAACTCGTGAGGTACTCGTGAGGACTCGCCCTCACGGTCCTTGATGGTATCCCTCGAACACGTTTTTTAAAGACACTTTTCTTCGGTTGGAATCCCACCTTAACGCTTCGTTGTGGTAAATGCTTTGGAGTGAAAAGAAACTATTTATAAAATTAAGCAAATCATTTTAGATATTATAAATTTCAATTTTAAACATTTTAGATTTGTATAAGTAAGTATGTTGGGCTCAAAATTAATTTAGCGCAGTTTTTCTCGCATTTTTCTTTTGGGGTCTGATGTTTCATTTGTAGTGGTGATGATCTCCAGAATGCTAAGGCATTGGCTTCTGACTAAACAGCTGCAAAAATGCATTGAATTCATAATTATTATTTCGCCTGTTACATGATGAAGATAATAGTTACCTCTTTTCGATCAGAATCCCGACCAGCGGATTTGCTGTATAGGAAGCTTTCGTAGAATATTTATATACTCATATATTTAATGACAATTTTTTGTGATATTATTAGAGCTGCGCATTTAAACAGCCCCGTTTGGTAGGTTTTTAAAGCTATTGATATTAATTTTTTAGTCCACAGTTAGTTTTCACTAGAGATATATGGACAGATTTTTAACACTTGAAGGGAAAATTTCAGAATTAAGTTACATATATGCTTTATTTTTTTGGATTAGTTTATTACATTTTTATCCATCTCTTGAGGATATGCTCATTCATCTCAATAGTTCTATCTATTAAACTGTAAAAAAAAGTAAAGATATCTCAATGCTGGAGCTCGAGTTATATTTTTTACTTGATGGTTCGAGGCGTTTATATCATGGCCGAAGAGGAACCAGGATCGGGCCTCATATTGGCAGAACAAAAATGAATACCAACCTTTGTTAATGTCCCCATCTGTTAGACAACATTGAAATTAGCACTTCAGAACAACAGAATTCAACATTATTTCGTTCTCTTTAGTTATTATAGAAGTCACCATAAGCAAAACACAGTTGTCTAGAAGTAATTTCTGCATAATAGTGATGACCCAAGAATGTGCTAAACTTGCCTCGAAAAGATAACTAAATGCATATCTGTGTCATCGAATACGCCCTCATGCCTTTTACCCCACAACCTAACACGAATTCTGGTTTGTTCACGAAATTCACATAAACAAACCAGAATCTAAATTGTGACTATAAACTCAAGGCTCTTGCTCGCTCTAAATTTCACTGTCTAACAGTTACTTGAAGAGGGCTTTGCAACAACTTTGCTCGACATAAGCCATGGATATCTCAATGCTGGTAGCATGCTTTTAACTTGATCGTTCAAGGCGTCATGTCTTATCCGCAGAAGATGGGGATTAGAGGAGCAGTAATTAATATTAACATGACCCCACTACCATCAACATAGTCATTAACTGCTCAAAACAAAAAGTATGAGGGTTTTTTTTTGTAGCGAATATGGCTGCCGCCGCTAGACAGATAAAATCACCCGGTAAGGATCAGTCAGTATAAAACGAGAAGTTTTTTAAAGGTTAATAGGAATTTAATTGCTTTCCAGCCTTATAGTAATTAGTTTTATAATTTCATTTCGTTTTTGGAAATCTTGTAGCTGAGGAATTTTATTCAAAGTTCATAGCATTTAGAGTTCATGTACATAAAATTAATCAAAAAATGATGAAAGATGGAAAGGACAACATTAGGCTGTAATTAGTTTTTATACATGAATCAAAATTTCTCCATAGCATTTTCATCTTTCAGTAAAAATCTGCCGTTCAGGATGACAGTAAGCTTTATTTCTAACACTTCATGATTCATAATCAGAGGAGATAAACTAATGTTGAAATATTTAACTCAGATTTTATGCGACCTTTTTTGTATAATGAGATTTAAGAGCTTAAACATATGAAACAAATGAGATGAATCCCCCATCAAAATCACTTTGCGATAGTAAGATAGTATATCTGTTTAATTAAACATGGCAGGAATGCTTCCGTAGAAAACTTTCTAAACGAAACTGGCTCGTATTCATTGAAGCAGTAGGGAACATGCGTAAATAAATCCTGAAGTTTTCGCAATCGTTGCCCCTCAGAATTACACAGTTAACTGCTAATTTATTGTGTTTTTTTGTGTACATGTTTTGCTTTATGTAGTAGTATACATTTGTATATTTCATAGCTGAGTTCAAGTGAGACACAATGGACCTCACTTGCCACATCAGCATCTAGAAAATACCAGTAATAGAGATCTAACCAATTGCTCAGTTTACAACTAATACCTAAATTTTGTGCTTATACAACCTCATGTTGATCTGAAATTCAATATTTTATTAATTTGTAAATTTAAAATTATTTAAAAATTTATTCATTTGAACAGCTGGCCGCCTATGCTCTTGGGTGCACAATACTTCTCACCGTTACTCCGTGGACGATTATCCAACATATCCAAAATTTCGGAATTCTTTGATGCTGAAATGCTCTGAAGGAGAACCATCCGTCCTACATTTTACACCCAATGTGAGTGCTCCAGATCTTCTGTACTACCAAGTGAGTTGCGTTCATTATTATTAAATAAGTCTTTATTAAGTAAGACATATGCGTTTTCAGTTGCTCTGATGGCGATGCAAATTTAACTGTCTCTGTACCTGTCAAGTGTTTTATCGATTTGTCTATAAGATGCTAATTTTTGTAAATAAGGTGAGTGAGTGAGTATACTGCTGAAATGGCTTCGATCACTGAGTGAACCAAACGATCCTAGTAGGGATATCTACTGTTTGTCGAAATCTGTCTCTGGACCGACCAGATGTCATCTATTGTTCATTTTAAAACGTCTGTTTGCATGGGCAAATTAAAATATAATTGCTGTTACTTGTTGACATAGTTTGTTATTCATATCTGTTACTTTTATCATATTTTTTACTTCAGTTACGCAGAACTGTTATTAGCCTTAGCATCAGTATTTGCTGCCATGACCATTGAGATAAGATAGTTAGACAGGATAAAATGTAATAGTGTTCGTTTAGAAATGATCCCTATTATTTAATGTTAAAATAATAAATAGAAAACTAATAACAGCATGTTCCTGATTTTTGTGTTTATTAAAATTCTTGATTAGTTATGTAATGCTACAATAATTCTATTAATATGACAAATATGTAATTATTTACAAGGTGTAAGAACGTTTGAGCTATCTCATTGGATAGCTCACTAGTATAGAACGATTTCTGACAGCATGATCATACATGAGTTATGTTGCTGGTAGTTATTATTATAGTACATCTTATGCAAACTATGCATAATGAATTCTCAGTTGATAATGTCTCTCAGAAAGGATGCCCAGTGGAGCATTTTCAGAAATAAATTTTTTAGTAACTGATAATGCAAGGTTGTTACATGCACAAATTAAATAAGAATAATTCAGAAATCAAAAGTTGCACTGTAAGATAAATTATGTACGGATGCCAGGCTTCCGTATTAGGAATTATGCAGACTTCACTGAAATGTATGAAAAAAAATCAACAAACTTACTAAATTAGTATGATACAAATGCACTACGGAAGCGCAGTGCAGTATAACTATTAGAGGCATAGGGCAAATAGACTTTAGTGCCACCTTGATCTATATAATGGTTAGTATGTGCGGTCTTGATGAGACATCACGTGTAATTTTTATTACAAATTTTATATCAAATTTAATAAATATATCAAATTTTTATTTGATATTTATTCTCAGTCATGATTATATATGCATCGTATATGAATGTACGAATTTTAAATACCAAGTTTCAGAAGTTTTGGATTATATTATAATACGTTTTTTCCCAAAAATATATTCAGAGCCTCAATAAATGAACACTTTTATCAGTTTTAACCAAAATCTGATATATAGTTCTCATTGACATAAATTTCGTAAATATTAAAATTAAAAACTTTTGTATTATATTCTAATACAGTTTTGCATTAAAAACTGATTATGGGTTTCAAGTAAAGTACCAGTTTTGGTTGTCCGGTTTTACGCAATATATAATCAGCACTTCATATGAATGCAAAAGTTTAAATTCAGATAACAGAAATTTTTGAAAGTTTGTTATGATTTATCTTGAACGGAAAAAAATCCTCAGACACAGGCGGACACAAACATTATAGAAATAGTAAAAACGTGTTGTATGGAAACTACTTTGTGTTTATTCACCGAAAACTCGCAATCGAATTTTTGGACCGAAAACATTACAGGTTGACGGGAGGCATAAATTTCTCATTCTAACTTTTTTCTATTCTTAAAAATGTTGCTCTTTTTTTTTTGTTCGGATGTTTTTCAGCGTATGTCATCAGTGAATGTAGTTTTATTATCTATAAAGTTATTTTATTTATAGTTCCCCTTTTATTGTGAGTGATGCAAATGAAGACTCATTTTATTATATCTGCGTATTTTCGTGGTTTTAATTCTTCATTATAAATCTCACTTATTTTCATGCGAAGACTTTATTCTCAATTTCTTGAGATTTCAGCAAACTCGTATTAAGTATTATATTTTATCATAAATATCAGTATTTTATACTGTTACAAATTTTATGCATATTTGAATAATTTATATGAAACTGTAGTTTCTTTCTTTTTTTTTTTTTTTTTTTTTTTTTTTCTTCTTTTCATAATGTAACATAAGTGTAAAGAAGCGGAGCTTTTCCGTAAAAATAAAAGTGTAGGAGTAAGTCCTTAAGATTGTGCAAATGACCATCTCGCTAGATTGGCGAGGGTTTTGGCGACAAATGCCAGAAGTAACCAAGTTTAGCCACCATTTGACAACATTTGGTTTTGATCCCTGTATAATTAATTGTAATGGGTAATGTAACTGAGTAACTGTAATTGATGCTATTTAAAGCTGTAACCGTATCCAGCCTTCATATGCCTTCCAGTAATTTCGAAAAGGGTAAGGTACTAGAAATCTCTTGGCTAAATGGAAGAAAACTGTGTAAAACCGGGAAGAGCATCAGTTTTTCTGTAGTAGTTGTTAGTTCAGAGCTGAATCGAGATATCCGTGAGAGCGTCGTCTTTAAGATGCGTTTTGCATTGCATTGTGTTTAACGTTCTTAGTAGTTTGAAGTGTAATTACTGATTGTACTCTGTGATACTGTGGAAGAGATGTATGAGTATTTTTGTGGAAACGTCCATAACTGAGAAGTGTTTCTTTTGGTAAAATAAATTTTATCAATCTATCATTAATTTTGTGTGCTTTCATTCTATTACGAACCCGTACGCACGCAACAATATTTTACTTTGAAGTCGTCAGATTGATAAATTCCCATTACGTTTCATACTTTTTTCTATTATTACCAGTTTTATACGTAGAATATCCGTGTATTTTATGTGAAATAATTTTGACTGGTGTAGATTTTATGCCATAAAAATCGAATAAATTAATATTGATTTCCAAAGCCCTGAAAGTTCAAATTATAATTTAATTTAGTTCATTTGTGCATGTAATCCGTTAATGTTCGGTGTCGTGCAGGGAGAGTGATGCATCAAAGCAAGAAAACTAAAATTTAGTATTTGGATTTGATGAAGATGACAGCAGATTTAAATATATCTAATGATTTCTAATCGATTCCAATGGTTACTAGTATTATATCGTAAACTGAAAATTTTTAATGATTAGACTATTAAAGCTTAACAAAAGTGGAATAGTTTTATGACGTTTACAGAGGAAAACTTCAAACTGTTCTGAAGATTCGTGTTAAATCTTGAAGTATTAGAGCTGTGTAATAAAATCCTGACATTTTTCTGAAAATTCACTAATTAGAAACTGTAGCATTGTTAGTGCTATAACTAACTTGTTTAAGCCTAGTCGTGTACTTTGCGGATTACGAGGAATTAGATTAATTATTCCTATTATTTTTAAGGTTATTAAAATAATTCCTATTTTAAATAAACAGTCATTTTATGAATTAGATCTATACTACCACTTCTGGCTTTTCCTAATAGAATGTAAATTAGTTCGACAGTATATAACGTGAGATTTTCTTTAGGACTCTATTCTTGGTTAGCTACCTTAAATAAGATTGCTTTCTTCGGCTTGCATTATATATTACCGATTTTTAAATTGTTACGCCGGTGAGAAGTGTGAGCCAACTTCATGTTACAGAAATTGTATAGATTTTGGCTACTAGATTTAGTTCTAATATGAAATTCGAATTTACTATTACTTTAAGTTACATCACCACGAATGGTCGGCTGATCCCACGTTAAGCACGAGATGCGCCTTTATGTTCAGAGTTCTGACTTTAATAAAAAGGTCTGTCAAACCTTTTCGAGCCTCTAGCTCTATCCAGGTATAGCTATAATTCACTTACGTCTGTTGGGAATTTCATACGAGTTTATGTTATCAAAACAAGTAAAACACTTAATATTGATATTAGTCCTACCTTCAAAAAATAATAAATTTTCAAAGTTATATTCCGGTACGTATTATTTATTTTCTTATGCTACTATTTATAAGTTTCTCGAACAATGTTCTATCTAATAAGGAAAACTTTTGTGGAGGAAAAATTCATATAGATTTGCTCCCTTACGTAGCAAAAATACCCAGAAAAAATTATTGCCTTTTCATACTCCCGTAATTATTTTTCCATTTATAAAGCTCTTCCAGAACTTTATTTGCATTATAAAATAGTGATTATGCCTACAATAAAAATGTTGCAAAAATATAACCATTGGCTTGATATGAGTAGTAATTATATTTGTATTGCTTTTATAAGTTACTTAACCATCTTCCATTTTATTTGACAGAGCTACACTCAACGAGATATGGGCTGGAAGATCTTTATTGTCGATGAGATCATCAATGCAGCACCTTCTTCGTTGCATATTTCAATGATTTCAGTCATTTCGTGCGTTGTAACTGTGCTCTTGTGGACAGGAATTCGAGAGAATGTATTTTAATTTGTAATATATTTTATGAAAATAAATTTTTATTTATTAGTTATTGAGTTCTAATTTGTGATAAAATCGATGAAATGAAGTTCTAATGGTCTCCTTCACACATTTTTATTGAATTGTAAAAAATATCTACAAGAGTGGTCATAGAAACAGTTTTCTTTACATCTGAAACCCTAGCGGCCTATCCGCTCAACCAGTCGAAAGGAAATTTCAAGTATTGATACTTGAAAGCACGCGCTCGAGATTGCGATGAATTTTTTTTAAAAAAGAGCTCTCACGATTACAGTGAAAAACATTTCGAAATTTTCTAATGGCAACATCTACTCAGTGGCGTAGCCAGCTTAACTGGCGCCCGGGGCACGATACCTTTCTGTCGCCCCCCGAAAAATATATAGTAATGGAATATATAGAATATACTCTTAATAATAGTATAAGACAAAAGTAAAAGATTACAGTAACTATCTTAAAATATTCTATAATATATTATGAATAGTCACTGCAAGTACTCTTCTACAAAATACTGTTCTGTTTTTCGAGATATATAGAGACACAGGCTCAGGTTAAGCTTTAAATTTGAGGCAAAAGAATCTTGTTAAAAAACCAAGACTGGAATTGGATTCGGAAATTTGTGTGTCGGTAGGAAAATCGGACATACGATCATCTAGAATAAATTAAAGATGTTAATTATTTAACATACTTAATTAATTGAAAAAAAACGTACAATTTTTAAACAATTTAAAAGTTAATTTATATAAGGTCGTTATATTTAATAATAATATTATATTATAATAAATGAATACAATTAATTATTATGTATATATTTTTCTTGTCTTTGATGAAGCAAATTTATCAATTACTTCATCAAAATTGATCATTTAAAAGTTTTCTCTTTTCTACATTTAAAAATGCTAGGTTACTTAGACGATCTTATCCCATCGTTGATCGTAGATGTGTCAAAATTAATTTTAATTTGATGGACGAACGTTTACAGCTAGAAATTGATACTGAAATAGTAAGGAGTATTTGTAGAGCTACTCTCAGGCTTAGAAAAGCATCTTTTGCATACTATATTATAAAGGTAAGAAGCTGTAATGGAGTTTTAGGTTAACTTTTTCTACTGGTGAGTAACATCTTGCAATCACATATTTCGACATAGTTCTGTTTCATTAAAATCTGTATTATAAAATTCACCCAAATTTTTACAATTCTTTTCAAGATCGTTATCAACATTACCCTTGTTTAATAAATTTTCAACATCCAGTAAAAATCCAAATTGGAGTTAAGATCACTTAATCGTGTAAATCGCTTATTTATTTATTTCCTGCTGCAGATGATCAACACCGCTTCTCTAAAATTCATTTTAGGATCTTGTAACCTAAGCTGCACACGATCAATTCTTCTCAAGATTTTATGCCAGAAATGGACTAAAGTTATGAAACTAAAATTCAGCATATTTTGCAACAAAAGTGCAGCTTCACTTCTGGTGTCACTTGTGGTAGTACTATCCTATACTAATTTTTCTTATAATTCTACTAATTCTTCCAATCCTTTAAGTCTCTCTTCCAGTCTCGCTTCTGCTTTGGCGCTCCATCGTGTTTCAGATTGATGTTTAACAGTTTTCTTTAAAGCATTTTTTAATAATTCCTATCGTAATGTTGAACGTAAGAAAAAAGAGATATATGTTTTCAATTATTCCAAAGCATGTTATAACGATTGGATCTTGCTTAGCTGCAGTGACTCTTACCAAATTTAATGAGTGGTTATCACAATTTACAAATAATGCTTTATTATTTTTTTCCATAATTCTTTTTTGAACGCCAGATATGTGACCTGACATCACGGCAGCATTATCATAACATTGTAATCTACAATTTGTTAATGAAATCTGATCGGAATTTAATTTCTCTAAAATTGTATTTTCAATTGAGGCTGCATCTTTAGCATGTATTTCAATAAATCTTAGAAAGATTCTTTGATGGAAACTTTTCTGTTGATAAAGGTAATATCTACATACTTAAAGATTTGCGACATTTGTTCTCGATGAGTAATATCAGGAGTCTAATCAAATAAAAGTCCGTAATATTTATTTCTTTTGATGTGACTTATTGATTTCGAACTATGGATGCCAAAAGATGAATAAATTCATTTTGGATTTGGGGTGATAAGTATGAGACAGTTTTTGGCGTTTTTATAACATTTTTTAGATAAGTAGCTAGCAGTGGATCAAACTGAACTACAAGTTTAAGTAAAGATAATAAGTTTCCGACATTTGTACCGTCTTGAAGAGCTAGAATTTCAACATGGCCACGTAGAGGAAGAATTTGTATAATCATATACCTCATACAAGCTAATATCCGTTGCAATATGTTTCGCTACCGTTCTTTTTCAGACTATATATTTGCTTCTAATGATTCATTGATTCCCATTTTATTTTATATCCCATGGCTAATCAATTTATTTCCCCCCTCCATTTATTAAAACCAGATGCTGTTGCGAAAGATGACTATGTAGTGGAGTTTGATGTAACGAACAGTAAACAACAAAAACAGTACGTTGCATTATTTTTTGGCGAATATAATAACCAAGATCGGTTTATTTCAGTTCCTTCTTCATTACCGATTCGTCGAAAAAAACCAAGATTTTGGCTTTAGACGATTAGGTGATGTTGCTGCTGCATTTAGACTGGCTTCGTTTTGAAATACGAGGCATCCACGAATAATCATTTCGGTGCGAAGATGGTTCGGTATTATTGGAAAATTATTAGAGAATTTTAAATAATCAACATCTTTGAACTCCAGAACGTCCGGAATTGCAGTGAGTGTTTCTGTTGCATTTCCTGTGCTTATTAATAATGGACATGGATAGTAATGGACTTCTGATGTACTTGGGCCCTCAACGTCATCATCTTTAGAGTATTTTATTTGTTTATCCGTATTTTATTTGTTTATCCGTGAACGAAACGTTCGTTTCAATGGGCGCCTGGACTGGAGTCCTATCCCATTTGATGTTATGTCACTTTTCGATCATTACTTCCATAAGGTGCGTAAAGGCATATCGTAGTGAAAAGCAATAATTAAAGCATTAGTCTTTGATAAGCAGTAGACTGTATAGATGACACAAGCAATTGGAAAATCCGCAACCGGAGAGTCGAAACGTAACATCAGGAATACAGGCAGGCAATGCGCGATGAAAGATGTAACGTCTAACACTGAAGGTGTCGTCACTTGAACTGGGCGGAGAAGAGGCTGGATGATCTAAAGTTGAGGCAGGTCATGTGACATAGGAGAATCCAATGGCAGGTTTGAACAGAAGTTAAAGTTTGAGAGGCTGGGGAGGTCACATGCAAGCTGTGATTTTTGTAAATTTAAGGTGTATTAATTAACTTCGAAAATTTTTCAACATTTTTTTATTATCAAGTATTAATTAAAGATGTTTGCTTCTTCACCTATGTTGAAGAGTAAAAATAGTTTTTCCATAGATGTATCTACTTTTCTGAGCTGATCCAAATTGGATCTTAATAGATTGAATAATTTTGATAGATTACTATTTCCAAAAATAGAATTCAATTCTTTAAAGTAGAGAATATTTCAGAAAAATTACTGTAATTATTCTGGTTACTGTTATTCTGGCTTTTAGCAGTTTGTATGTGTTTAGATGTAGCTTGTGCGTACCATTTTATTTGTTGTGATGTGTTATCGCATAAACGTTTAGCAGCAATAGAAATACAATTTGAATCTGATTCATCCTTCTTAACTTCTGGTTTATCTTTTTGCGATTTGTTTATTAAATATAATCCCATTCTTATTCTAGAGTTCTGAGCTTCTTTTTCTTGCTCTAGTTTTCTTTTCCGATTCTGAGAACCGCTAAGATATTTCCTTGGCATTGACATGGTCTAAATAAAAAATAATTTGTGACAGTTGCGGGAAGAGAAGTTATTGAAAGAAATAAAAAAAAACATTAAAAGCAATTACATACAATTAAAAATGAAAAACCTCTGCAAACTATTAGTAATAGGTAGGGCTGGATTTAAACTTGATGAGGCCCTAAGCTATTTGAAAACTGACTCTTTATAAGTATGTTATGCTATATTTTAAATTTTTTGGGGGGGCGTAAACTATAGCTTGTGCAGCTTATACGTAAATCCTGCACTGGTGATAAGGAAATGGGAGTTGCATTTTTGTATAAAGCTTGTAGGATTCTCCACTGTGTAATTCTAAGTTAACGTTGAAAGTGAAAAATCGCTTGAGTTTGTGTGACAGGAAACAAAAAGATAGAAAGGTAAAATAACCCTTTATTATTCAAATAAGATTTAACAGAATTCCGTCTTGGAGTTGTACAATAAAGCCGACACTTAGTCTATCAAAGGCCTAAGTACGGCCGAGAATAATAATAGCTTACGAGAGAGTAACCTTAAAAAGGCGGACGCGTGCTAACCAGAATCTCTGGTATCTCTCTTCCTCAGACAGTAAAACTTCGCGGTTATATACCGATCTTCCTCATTAGCATTCAGACGTGATTCTAAAACTACGTTCTGGCCGGAAGTGGTAAGTTGAAGTTAAGAATCGATAGGAAAGGAAGTTTAACTCAAAATTTAACTGTTAATAAAATTAACATAATCCTTACAAGTTAGCTACTGCGGAAATTTGGGGGTTCTAGACTTGAAATAGAAATTTCTCTAGGCCTACCGCTTCCTTTTTGACGCTGTGTGCGGCCATGGTTCACCCATTCCTGCCAACTTTGTCTAATAATGGCATCGCTGCTGCTCAAATGTCGAGCTATTCGCCGATAAGACCAACCGGCTTCTTTGAGCCCAACTACACGACCTCTCTCAAATTTTGACATCTGCGCATATTGTTCGCGCACCTGTATGCGAAGCATAGTTACTGTCTACCAGAGTACACGGAATGAAACCGTTCATTCACTGGCAGCCAAAATGTAAAATTTTGCATTTCCCGTCGAAACCTGTATGCATATCAATTTGTGCCAATTTGCTTTATATCTTCTCGGTGCGTCGTTTTTTTTTTTTTTTTTTTTTTTTTTTTTTGT